TTTCACTTTTTCCACGTTTTCATCGGTTGTTGATGTGCTGGGGCGTCCGGGGCGCTCGTCATCTGCAACGTCTTCACGGCCATCTTGGAAACGCTTATACCACTCGTAAACTCTTGTTTTACTCATAACAGACTCACCATAGGCCTTTGTTAACATTTCACACACTTTGTAACACTTTATTTCATTTTTTACGCAAAATTTGATACAAATTCTTTGATCCATTTCTTTTAACAAACGAAAATCGCCAAGCTCATAAAAACACGTCTAACCTTAGCGGCTGCCACAGACAAAGTAAGCAATGAATACAGCTGAAAATTTTATTGTACTTCAGGGGCATGTATACCAACATAATAAAAAAAAAATTTTGACAATTGGACTCTCCAAACCCGCGAAATTTTAAAATTCCCGTTATTTCCTGAACACACCTCATATATTGTACATAGAAGTAAGGATTAAGTGTGTATTTGTAAATATATGTAAATACAGACAATAGACTTAATACAGACTGACTGACTGACAGATGACAGACCCGACCTCTCGTCAGAGAGGGCGCTACACATGGACAGGACGGTAACTTTCATTGAAAAGAAATATCTGGTCATGAGCCCCAGCTGGGGCTCGACACCAAGACCGACAGACTGACTGACCGTCAGTTGTAACATAACATGACCTGACCTGACCTGACCTGATGCCATTCACACACATTTGTTTTCGATAAACATTCTTCACCATACGCACTTTTCAACATTTCAATAGCTGTTTTCTGTGTTCCATTTTGAAAGCTTTGACAGGACAAGAAAACTAACCTCACCAAAACAACTGTAATCCTCATATGCATCAACCAAACACGCTTGAAACTTCCAAATCATATAAACAAACATTCTAACTAGTCCCATTCATCCCTGATAGATGGCGTTAGTAGCATTACTATAATTGCATCAATTCAGGAATTTAACTGTCACAATGTGTACATACACTTCAGTAAATCTTACAACTATTACCTACACAAAAACTTGATACTAATGACTGATCCACATAATTTTAAAATTTACTGCCATATTTGTGCATGTATAGTCGATTTGTATTTTGCCTCCAATAAATGCACAACTGTCACTGTGGGGGCTGTCAAGGAAGGTTCCATCACCTACTTAGATGGTCCATATACAAGGTGAAGAAGCTGATGGTCCAGGTTTTAAGCATTTCAGAATCGACTAGAAAGTACAACTTCTGGAACCAGTATGCATGCCCAATGTTTGGAACAGATACGAGGATTTAGCAAATGGTGTAACAAGAAACATCAAGGCAACATGCATCACCATCTGGAATCCTATTTTCCCAAGTTTATGTGTCAGGGTCAATTCAACAAGGAACCCCATTCTGGAAATGATCATACAATACTGGCCACCAGAAAATTATACATACTCTTCCTTATTCTAGTTTTCTTTCCTGAATACATCTTGTAAAAAAGTCACAGAAGTTATCCATAAAATACTTTTGGTCACCTGTTAATATGTAACTAAAGTTTCAATTGTAATTATGTGTAAAGACACTGTAATGTTAATATAAAATATAGATTATATATAACAGACCTGCCATCCAGTCCTGGGCCAGGCATGTACTGATTTGTCCTTTTTACACCGAGAAGGTGATTTGTAAAATGAAGTATTGTCAACCATTCCAAATCATACTCAAGCTCAATTGACTTACTTGGATCATGTGGTATATCAACAATCTGCAAACAAGAAGTTTAAATTACTCACTACAAAATGAAATAAGTAGGGTCTTATGGGTTGCACAGCGTTTTGCCAGGATTTTGCACATTCATTTTTAAGATGCTGGTATCATGTAGTGGTGGGACGTTTTACGAACATTTCAGGGGGACTGCAGTCTCCTTCTTCAGCCACTTCATCGTGATGAGAGACCTAAACTATCCCTGACATATGTGAAAAGCAGACTGCAATAAACACTACAAAAATGAAAGCATAATAAGTGAAAAATAAAGCAGAATCCAGAAATGAATTTGTGAAAAAATGGGCATTAAATTGTCATTCACCCTGAATAAATGCAATAGAACATTATAGTAAGATTAAGAGGCAACAAGGGTTAAAATAAACTAGTACTTAACATATTTTAAAATACCTGGTTGTGTTAATTTTACAGCAAATTGACAAATGGCACAAGAATGATATCTGTTGGTATTTCGAAAGAAGGCATAATAAACAGTTACTTCTGAATGAATATTATGACAGTTTAAAAATGTGAGATATTATGTTACTTAGCATTAATAACAGTGGCACAACGATAAACTGGAAAGCCAAAAACCTACTTCAGAGCTTTTCCTATTACTGCATACAGAAAAAGAGACAACAAAACACAAGAAGCAGTGAAACGAAACAATGCTATACCAAACCTGCTTCAAAATGGTTTTCTGGGACCCATCACATCCAAGGAAATTGCACTCCTGACACTCACTGCTCTGAGAACCTTACATGCCACATTTGCATATTAATTTTTTTGAACTGAGATGTGCAAATTTCTCCAAATGTCCAGTTCTGTTCAAAGAACCTTACTAAAGAAAGCAAGAACTTACAGCAGTGGAATCCCCAATTAGGGTCCTTTATTTTGTGTAATTTTCTATTCCTTTGGTCTAACTGTTTCAATGCTGAGTTTTCTCAACTTAACGGGAAACTGAGGTGACAATAGGTATCCTATACAGTATCTGGTAGAGTCGCAATTTTAAGCATGGAGATTTGATATATTATTACATGTAACTACTTTAACTTTCAGTTGCAATGCAGCAATACTTTTGATGTAAGTAATGCACCTTGCAATACTGTACTGCTATCAATTAACCCTACCTCTGTAAACTTGAGAAAGCAGTGAACTGAATGATGTTAATATAAAGGTAACCAATAAGCTGACATACTCACTTGTAAAAATTTCCTTCTTGGCAAACATTTATCCAGTGCCAAAAATTTTGTCATCTGTTGATTATCTTCTTCATTGTTCTAATGAAAATAAAAATCCAAGAATTAGACATTTGTATATACAAAGTAAAGGATTACAAAAATGTTTAAATAGAAATAAAAATCAGACTACACTGAATAATAGCAGTTACACAAATTTCAGTCATCTCTTCACTGTACTCTAAATTAAAACTTCAGTGACTGCTTCCTGTTGTGTATATAATATTTAATTGCTTATATTATGACTACCGACACAAGTAATATGGGAATATCTTCAAAAAAGACAATAGGTGTTTGTATATATCTTACATGTTTAATATAAACATAACTGTGGTACATGTTTCTACCATATAATTAAGTCATCATCAGGCACTCATGAACATCCAGATCTGTATTATAATTAATTTTAATCACTTGAGTTATGTTCATGAGTGCCTGACAATGACGTAATTATATGGTCGAAACATGTACCACAGTTATGTTTATATTAAACATGTAAGATATATACAAACACCTATTGTGTTTATTGAAGCAGCTGACAGTGCTCCATGGAGTTATTATCTAATGAACAGTAACTCTAATGACTTACTGAAGAATGAGGCACAAGAGCTGCAAATTTAACATGCAGATGGGCAGCAAACCAGTATGTTGGCTTCAAATGATACAGCAGTTCTTCACATGGTCTGCTACCAAGTGAGTTGCACTTCACTTCATCACTGTCAGTAAGGAGACAAAACATAAGATTTGAGGTTCTCACAGGGTGACTATGAAGAGCACTCTCTTCTGTGAGGTGACACCACAAGGTCTGCTAAAAGTTTACAGACAGTTCTGAGGAACATGAGCAAATAACCATTTGTTTGGCTTCGTCTAAGACTCTGAAGATGGAAGCCACACATTTCTCCAGTGTCAACAAACTTCTTTCAGATTATATGACTGTATTTCAGTGCCCAGACTGCATGGGGTCACACTCGTGAAGACAATACTCCTCAAACAAAATATTCATGTGAGCTGCTATACAAACTGGCTGGTTCCAATAGGCTCTTGGGATTCTATCTCATACATGCCAGGCCTACTCTTCTTCAGGCTAATCAGCACAGAAGGGGAAAAGATACCACAAGGGTTAAACATGAGTCTGCCCAGCAAATTACTACTGTATGGTAAGATTAAGCAATGAAAGAAGCTATCTGGCAAATGGAGGATCACTCTCCAGGCTTAGGATGGAGCAGGTCTACTGTGGAAGTATGGCCCACTTATCCTAACTCTGCTCTTCCAGATATTGACAAATCACATTGTAATAGTAGTTTCCGCTTCTACGGATATATCCTTCTGAAGGTGGTCTCTCAGACTGAAACATGTCAAGGATGAAAGATTAAAAAGGAGAGAAGAAAAACATCAATCATACAAGACAGAGTTGATAATCCTTTTATAATATTGTAGGAGATACACCATGTAAACTAGGTATAAATGGTAATTCCTTGGCAAGAACAGGGTGTGTAGTCTCTCACTCAAATGGTTAACTCATTCAATGTATTTCAGACTACAGATGGCACTACAGGGCAGCCTTTGGCAAAAACCACTTGTGGTCTGCTAAAAAATGCTGGGGTGGGAGGTAAGCCAACAGCAGAGTTGCTGTGAGTAAAAGACTGTACATGGCATGGTCATACGACAACATAAAATTGTATCACAATGTATCATCAAGGAATATAATGTCACCTTTGCTCAAGGGATACAAGATACCTTAACTCTTCACAGTCACGTTTTTCTCACACACACATGCCCAATTTTTTTGCAGCATATTAAAAAAATTATATTCAAATTTTCATGAAATTTCAGCACAATTTCTGCACATATCTAGCCTAAAATTATCATGTAGTCATACAAAAATAGTAATGAATGACTGAAATAATAACAAAATATATTTTAAACATACAGCAGAAGTTGCTGGAAGCAAGGAATAGCACACAACACAATTGTGGAGATCCACATTAATTCTTTTTTTTTTTTAACTCCTTATGGGGAGGGGGAATATCAGACCCATAAAATGACAACAATTTTAAACTGACATTTGGATTGTAACCAAGAGGCTGCAGTCCTGCAGTCCACTGTTGTCAAGTATCATTTCAATGTGTGTTGCAAGAAACAAAATAAAAATTTCCTTTCCTCTCTGACTAAACCTAATCTGACTGACAGCTGACTGCCATAACATAAGAGACACCCCCAACCCAGACACAAATACCTGTGACTTATCACCAAGAAAGATACGGTTCTATTTTACTTTGTTTGATTTATTTTATTTATTTTACAGTCTGTCAGTATCTCAGATTATACAGCACAGAATGGCTGAATGACTAGGGAATAACAAATTGTAAAGGATTTAGAAAAAACATCCATGGTCTAATCAAGGTACTATCTCAACATTTATCTGGAGGTACTGATGAAAACCACATAAAAACACTCAGTTAGGAAAGGTGCCCTGGCCTACACCTACTTCTAGCATCACTAAACACAACCTTTCCAAGATAAAAAGTATTTCAGGGACCCTGCGGAAAAAGGTTCTTACAAGGAAAATGGATCCACTTTTTGTGGTTTGATCCAAAGCAATTCTTTCATAATATTTTAATTATAAAAATAGCAAAGGTATGTTATCAGAGTAACCTGGAAATTTGGTGGCAACACAAGAGCTATTTTCTACTTTTTCTAAGAAAAAATTAATAAAACACGTAATAATGAGCCTCCTAAAAATTGTACAAAAATAGCACGAACATCTTAACACATGTTATTATATTGGCTTCTGCTTTCTGTACGATATTAAGTTTCTCCCGCAAAGTCACTGTTTTCCGTTTATTTGGAACAGCCACCATATTATGTTTAAATTACTTTACACTACAACACAAGCAATATCCACAGTTTCTTGTTATTATTAAACTTATGCCTACACAACATCAAGCTTGTCGAACATTAAAGAATGGTGAATATCATATAAGGTAATAAGGTAAAAAAGGGTAAAGCTATCATTGTAACAGGCAATAGAGGCCCATTGGGTTGTGAGACATCAAGACTCCCACATTTGCTAGACAATTGGCTCACAGATGGCAGAAGGTTGTCACCCTTACGTGCCAGCCCTCCTTTAGCCCCAGAAAGATTCCTGGTACTCATTTCTGTTAGAAGCTGAGTCAACCCCAGGGCACAGTGCAGCTGGAACGATTAGGTCAATTTTTTTTGGGGGGGGGGGAGAAAGAAAACCAATGACTTCACTGGGAATTGAACCTATGACCTTCCAACTTGTACCATAGTACCACAACCAACTATGCTACCACATGCCCCCTTTAAACAGTGAGAATACTATTAAAATCTGTGAAGAAGGAACTCAAGGCATAATCCCATACAAAGAAAGAGAAGCTGTTGCTATAGTAAAATATGAACTTACGTGAAAAATGGTTTGAATCGAAGAAGCTGATTTACATTCCCAAAATTGTAAATTCCTCGAGGCCAGTCATGGGACAGAAATATATCAACAGGTTGCTGAACCTAAGGTAATACCAAGTAACAAAATGTATAAGATTTATCTTACAGCTGCTCTAACTACCATACATTATTATGCCTATTCCAATACACATTCATCAAATATGCCTGCATAACAGCCAACTTCTCAGTTTCTGCATTTTAACACTTTACAGTCACAATATGACCCTCCAAAATAACAGACTGAGGAACAGAATACAATACCAGAACAAATATACAGTGCAAATATGATGGAAAACCAAATGTTGCTGCAAGCTGCAGGGTAGGCCTTACCTACTCAAGCTCGGGCAAAAAGAGCTTATCTGTTATGCCAAGACAGAGCCAAAATTACAGACTACAGGTTCATTACATTATAGAAACTATAAGAAATCAGACCCCTTAGTATCAATTTCACGTTTTAAAAATATTAGAAACAAAAATATGCATCACATACAGTAAACCCTTACCAATTTGAAGTGCTTGTGACTGAAAAATCAGACTTCGAATCAGGGCTTCAAATTATGCAATTCCTTCAATGAGGACTTAACCATTAAATGGGTAGTCAAAGTCCCAATGTTATGTTGTAAGCTAAGATTTTTTTTTAACTGATAGGTCTAGTCTATCTTTTATTTATTTATTTAACATACAGGCCTACTTTGTAATTTAATACAATTTGGATAAAACTTCAAGCCTACAAACAATAATTCATGTTTGTTGAGCTTTGATCTTAGTTCACTCTTCCTTAAAATATCACTCAATTGACTTTCAGAGTGCTGTTACACACATCTGAAACAAAATCTCTAAGTGCATCCATATAAGGTATAGTTGTACCTGTGCTTAACCTACTACCTACTAAGCATGCCATGAAGGCATATAGGGGAGTGGATGTATAGATAGAAGTTCTCTTGACCATGGCACTAGTGGGAAGTATTTTTTTTATTGGGGTGGGACTAAGTCCCTTGTACTGCAGCCACTTCTGGCCTATTGTACCAGCCCCAGATGATAGGTGATGGTGATTGTAGAGCAATCGGTGGAATGAAGATTCGCAGGGGAAACTGAAGTACCCGGAGAAAACCTGCCCCAGCGCCATTTTGTCCACCACAAATCCCACTTGACCGGACCCAGCATCAAACCTGGTCTGCCATGGTGGGAAGTCAGTGACTAACCGCTTGAGCTATGGCACAGCCTAGTTGGAAGTAAGTGATCTGCTTCATGCCGCAGACGCTCTACCTCCGGGGAAAGAGCCCCCAGTACCCACTGGATTGGAGGCTAGGTGGACCCCAGAGCCGGTCTGGATGATGTGAAAAAGAGAAAATTCTTGGCCCTATCAGGATCAGAACACCAACCCCTCCGTCATCCAGTGTGTGGCCAGTTGCTATATTGACTGCACTATCCTGGCTATGTAGTTCATACATAGCTTTAACAATTCTCAGGTTGAATTTATAACAGAGTCTAACACTGACAAAGCTATTAGAGCACCTTGGTGAGCTGGGCACACCAGAAGTGAAAGCATTTCCTCTCTCTCTCTCTCTCTCTCCTTCCTCAGTTGTCACTGGCACTGCCATGTCCTCAGAGATAGGACCATATCCAAATCTGTCTCCTGATGGTGGCTGGGATCGATTTGCTGGCATTGAGAAACTTGTTGAAATTACGGGGACATCCATGTAACACTGCAATTATACCCACTCGTTTCCTTCATCTTCTTCTGTGCTGACTTCACTTAGAGTGCCAAAACCACAATTTGCAAAGCCGTTCTGGATAACTGCAGGCACAGTGAATTCCCATGATGTGGGGCAACACTATGCATGGCATCCAAAATGTTCCATGTTCCTAATGTCTGCTGCATGAACATTTTTCTTGACTTCTCATAACAAGCACACAATGTGCATTCAATATTTGTGTTTCATGCAGAAGTGGTACAGTGGTTGCATGTAACTGGTTGTGCTTGGTGGCAAATATGACAGGCATGCATACTCCTGAATATCACCCCCATTATAATGAGGAAATCCTGGTCCATTATTACAAGGGCGTTCATGATAGGGCAACCACTTTTCCTTTCCAAAGCAATCAGCCACTCTCCAAATAGACTTCCAATTACTGATGTAGTCTTAGATGATCTGTAGTCACAATGTGATTTTTCAAACTTTCTGACAAAGGATGATGATTTTCACTGCAGTCTGCTCACTCTGCCCTCATAATCCTGCCCCCCTTAACACATTTCTCTGTTTAAAGCAAGTACCCTCTTTGTGCATGGTAAAACAGTGTGCCTTCATCCATGTTAAAGATGTCCTTCGAGCATACTGTGTGATGACAGGTGTGGCATTTTCATGCCATTTTTTCTGCTGAATCGATGTCTGCAGTAGCACCTTCCAAGATCATGGCTTTCCCCATTGCTCCTTGAAATATTCAAGTCATCCATTCATGCATTTAAAGTCAATGCCCATTTCAGTGCAATTTCATCAGCCTTCTCTTTTGCTGTACAACCATCCCCTGCAGTATTGCTGACCCGACCAAATACCATTCCAACAGTTCATTCTCTGTATCACCACATGTATAACAGTCTATTCTCATCCATTTTGGAACCCCCTGCAGAGTTCACTGTTAAAAATGAATCTCATCTTTTAATACGGGTCATCAGAGTGCACAGCGGAATTCCACAAGCTTGTCCTATTTCAGATTCACTTCTTTCCTATTTACCAACTTCTACAATCATTTCTAGTCTTCCAGTAATTTTCTTTCCAGAGCATTCTTGCATTCTTTATGCTCATGTTTCATGTTAGTGGATAGACTAAAAGTGAATACCTATTATGTAAAAGATTACACCTGGTATTTACATGTCTCCAATGCAATGGCTATTCTTTCTGACCCATATTAACAGCTGTAGTGTTCTCACATAGTTGTAGATGGTTGCGACACACAAGGACTTGATACTCAAAGCAACCATGAACTCAAGGTCACCTCCATGCTTTCACTTCTGGAAGACTTCCAGAGGTGGATAAAGTACTGTTCAAATTTCTTGTATGTAAAATTAGCAGGAATTATGCTATAATAATTTTGAATAATTCAAAATTTTAAGCTATTGCTAGGAAGGAATGCAGCTATGAATTAAAAAGTATCCATATTTTGACATAACTACATTATAAAACATTAAAAATCATATACTTAAAGCTGGGAAATTTCATTAACTTTGAACTGACAAGTGTTCTAAATTTGATATCAAATTAATAAAGTTGCTGCACATTCTCATTACTATTTAAATTACACTACTCACAATCTATTTCACACAAAGCTACACTAAAAACCTATACAAGGATGTCATTAACTTAAAAACATAATTTTTGTACTGAAACATTGCAGAAACTAGGAAATAGGCTCTCCTAATAGTAATGCACTCAACAACAAGAAGACCAGTCTCAAAATTTATGGACCAAGGAATACCATTTCAGCCTAAGACACTGTTAGTAACAGTATATTATTTGAAATTGAAAATAACCTGTTTTAATCTGAAAGTTTCCACGTTTCGGACATGATACACACTCCTTTTGGTATCTTCAGTATACGGAGGCTTTTCAAAGTGCCCTTTTAAATAGTCGTGTCCTTTGTAGATGCCTGACAAACCACCTACTCGGACCCCAGCTATGTTCACAATACTGGCATAGCCCATGTAGTATATTCTGGGAGCAACCCATCCCCCATATGGCAATTCTTGAAGATAATTTGATGCTTCATGATTTCCACCTATGAAAACTGTTAAAACTGGAGCAACTTTTTCCCCAGAGTAATACCTACAACAAGAATCACAAAGATAAATGTAAAAAAAACTGTCTGTAAGACAAGAAGAACCTTTTGTTATTCAGATTGTAAGAAGTTCTCTTTATGGGAAGACAATATGTAACAAATTTATGCCTAAAACTATACATAACGATTATTCCAAACTATATCACTACCAGCCGGTCACGGTAGCTGAGCGGTATAAAGCATGTACTGCCTTCACTAGCTTGGAAACTGGGATCGTGGGTCGAATTCCACTCAGAGCATGGATGTTTGGTGTGTGTGTGTGTGCGTTTTTCTGTGTTTGTGCTGTCCCTTGTTTAGGTAGAGCCCTTGTGATGAGCTGATCACCCGTCCAAGGAGTCCTACCTTCTGTAAAATGATAAATAAAATGAGAAATCGGCCCTAAGCTCCAAAGCGGGAACAAGAAGAGGGGAAAAGTCACTAACAAAATACACACTTTAATTATCTTCTGTCTATTTACTTAATAAAAATGTTAACACAATCACCGACTAAGCTCACTACCAACAGAAGAAAAAACTGCACCCAGTATGAGAAATGGTAAAGGATTCACAATTCAATATTGAACGTAACCGAAGATTCACATTAACTTCTGCTCAGTTTACAAGTATGTGTTTCTGTTGCTGATAAGATAAACTAAATACTCCCTAATGCCAGTACAGCAACATATACTACAATGAGATATTTCAAATGTGAACTGAATACAGACAAAACACAACTAGAAATCTTCATCATTAAAAACATATTTTAAAATTTTGGGTGTTTACTTACTTATAGAAAGTACACATTTTCTGATACTTTAGTGGCACTGCCATGCACCTTAAATCTTCCACGTTTCTAGTTGCTTGGAAGTCACCACAACAGATTAGTAGGTCAACTTTAATTCCATCCTTCTTCTCTAGATGTTGAATTGCTTCATATATTTTATCCAACTCTCCATGGGCACAACCCTCCACTGCTATTTTCATATTGATGTTACACTACAAAAAAACTGCAAGATGATTTAGTAAAAATGTGGAATGTTATATTACAAAATGGAAAGTATGAATTGCTTAAACTCAGTCCCATGTAGCTTTAATTCATTCAATCCCATTTTCCTATTCGGCGTTACGATAAATAAAATACATCTTCACGTAGTAAAAATGTAAAATTTTATATTGTCGCGTGCCTAGAATCCGGAAGGTATACTTCCATAGAAACGCAATAACAATGGGCCGTTGCCTAGGAAAAAAAAATATATATATATATAAACTGAACCACACCTAATATGGACTTCCGTCAATAACTAAGTATGAAAATATGTATTACACTACTAAATGTAATCGCAATTCATTTGAAGGTATCTGGAAAAGCGCTGTGTGAAATACATTCCATAAAACAATACCAAATGACGCTAACCTAAGACGTACTTTCGTGCCTTGACCTAAAATATCATCTAAGTATAAAATACGTGTCGTTAACTAGAACGAACTTAAATGACAACAACACGCAAACGTATCTAACTTCTTCCAATTATACTACAACACTGATCTTTTGTTCCAATCTACATTTACTTTCTTACAGCGCGCACAACCTACATCCATTACCTCTGTATCACATCAGTGCTCTCCTAGCGCTCCTAGCGCTCACTAAGCTACAGGGGTACAAACGGTCATTTGTCAGTCGTAGTCGGTGGGTTCGGTAGGGTCTGTAGGGTCTGTAGCGTTGGCATTGCTGTTCGTGTGTGTGTCATTCTCTTCATTCTGACCCTTCGGCCTGTGGAAAAAGGGATTCCCCGCAACCGAAGGGCATGAAGGGAAGGTGGGTAGTTGCGTTTGTTTTGTGGTGAGAAGGGAAGGTGGGTAGTTGCGTTTGTTTTGTGGTGAGAATTACCAAGAATATCAGATTGTTAAGGTATGTATACGAATGGTTTCATTGGTGAAAGCTAGTAATAGCCATCTGGAATTACATATTGAGTGTGAAGAAAGTAGCCTGAACTCCTTGACTGTGCTGCCCACATATCTGAAAAAACTTGCTGTAATTGCCCAAGTGAAAGCCTCGGAACCCTCGGAACTGTACACCTTGAAGTGATCTTCACTGGGGAACGAGAATGGACACAGTGCTTCGCGTTTCATTATTGTGCTTGACGTGTTCTGTTTGCGGGTTATTAATGTGATTTTTGGAATTTGGCTTCCGAAATGAGGACGGCAGTGGGTACATATCTGTTGCCATAAATTCCGTAAGAGGATTTTGAACAGGGCGGTACTCCGGTACTGTTTCTAATACTTGGGGCGCCCCTTCCATTTTTTTTACACTGTGATGCTATGCATAATGTAAGATAAGGAGTTCAGGTCGTTCATTGTCGTCATAGGGACAAAATCTTCCGGACTTAATCCGATTCTAGGGCCGCGCCATAGCTCAAGCGGTTAGTCGTTAGCTTCCCACCGCTGCGGCCCGGGTTCGATCCCGGGTCTGGTCAAGTGGGATTTGTGGTGGACAAAGTGGCGGTGGCACAGGTTTTCTCCCTGTACTTCGGTTCCCCCTGCCAATCTTCATTCCACCAATTGCTCCATAGTCACCCCCACCTGTCATCTGGGGCTGGTACAATAGGCCAGAAGTGGCCACAGTACAAGAGACTTAGTCCTACCCCACTAGCAATAAAAAAATAATCCAATTCTAATACAGTTTTTCAAGAGACAGACCTTCCTGTCTTCATTAATTGCAGAGATATAGCATTTTGAAATTTTATATTTTCCTTAAATTGTGCCAAGTTCAGATTCATAAAAAGTCCAATAATTTTGCACCAAAATAAAACAAAGAGCTTGTTCTTACAAGTTCTTTCCACAAAACCTAATGGCCATTTGAGTACTTCTTTGGAAAGTTGGGACATGAAAGGGATGAGAAGATACAATTTTATGTTTTTTTAGTGATTTGTTTAATAGTGGAGACATCCTGTAGGGTGTTGTGGCTCACACATTTCAGTTGATAACCTGATGTTGTTGGAGTTAAGTTGAATTTCCTTTTGTGACCAATTTTATAGTGGTTTGGTGAAGTGCAGAACATATTTTAATTTATTGTGAAGTTAAGAATGGCTGCAAGTGTCAAAGAACAAAATGTTTTAAAATAATGTTGCAGTCCTCTGAGTGTCAGTCACAGCGAGAGTTTCAAGAAATCTTGAGTCCTCTTGCTGTATGGGATAATGGAAAGTGTTTCTAGTATTTAGAAAGGTCAGAGAATATGTGTAATATAGAGACAGATGTTTGAAAATTTGCCTGAAGGATTCAGGAATGAAGCAGTTGACTCTTCAAGCTGAGAGTATGTGTCATATATGGTTATAATATGAGGACTGATTGATGATTATTATTACATAAGGTTTTGTAAACCCAAGTATATTGCATTCAGTTAAGGAGGAAACTTCGCAATACCGCTGACCACACCCAACAATCCCACAGATTGCTGCTGTAACTCCCAATAGCAGAATGAGTCATTAGCTCTGATAAACGTGCACACTCTTGCTAGCGTAGAGTGGATGGAAGGTTTCTCCGCTACTATTCCCTCACATCAGTTTCTGTACATGCACACATTTATAAGAAACCTGTAAAAAGATAACACAAACTTACCTTGCTTTATAATAGGTGCTGAAAGTGACCCCGTTCTACTTGCACACATGCATTGCATCGCATAAATAAATTATGCGACACTTTCTGAAGTTGGTCCACAGTAATTGGACCAGTTACGTGTGTTATTTCATTCTGCAGAGCTTCAGTGGTGCGAGGATTACTCTTGTAGACTTTTCCCTTTAGGTTCACCAGATATAAAAAAAAAATTATAAGGGTGTTATGAAAGAAGCAAAAAAAAAAAATAGCAAATGAAAAGTGTGTTTCGAGGTCTCAAAATAAAATGAAAGCTATGTGGCATTTAATAAAAATTGAAGTTGGTAAGTCATGTAAGGGTGATAAGAAAATCCAACTGTTTAGCGGTACAAAAATAACATCAGATCTGCAAAATGTGGCAGATATGTTAAATAATTTCTTTGTTGAAATAGTTGATGACCTTTTAAGTCAAAACAACAACAATAACAAAAACACACAGTGGCAGAAACAAAGGATAAACTGCTGCCCTAATACCATATTTTTCCATCCAGTCACTGAATATGACATGGAGTGTGTAACAAATAGTCTAAAAGGTAAATTATCTGCAGGATATGACGAACTACCAGAATATCTTCTTAAATAATGTATAAATTATGTAAAAAGACCAGTGGCTCATATTTTCAATGCCTCTTTGCGCTCAGGCACCTTCCCAGAAAGATTAAAATTAGCTGAAGTGATACCGCTGCATAAAAAAGGCGAATATTATGATATTAAAAACTATAGACCGATATCCATTTTATTGGCATTTTCCAAAATATTAGAAAAATTGATGTATAATAGGCTAATGCCTTTTTAATTCAAAATAATATATTAACAGAGGCCCAAAATGGCTTCAGAAAGAATAAACCAACTGACACAGCAAGTCAGTCTTTTATTGAAAGTACACAGGAGGCCTTAGATAATGGCCTGTATGCCATAGGATTATTTTTTGATTTATCAAAGGCATATGACGTAACAGACCATGATGTACTTTTAGAGAAACTAGGCTCATATGGCATAAGAGGTGTGCGAAATACATATTTCAGGTCTTACCTGTCAAACAGAATCCAATATGTAGAAATAAAAAACACTGACAGCAGTGTCAAAACCAGTTATAATTCATCATGTAGGAAAGTGAAGTATGGTGTACCACAGGGATCAGTGTTGGGGCCACTTTTATTTTTACTGTACATTAATGATCTTACAGAAAATGTTCAAGGAACAAAGCTGGTTTTATATGCAGATGATACCAATTTGTTAATTACTGGAAAAGATAAACTTGACCTTCAATATAAAATAATGAAGATTATGAAAGAATTAGAAATATGGTTTCAAAAAAATAACATTGTAATAAATACTAAAAAGACATCTGCCATGTCATTTCATTCAAAACAGTGGAGAGATCCATTAAGACCACAAATACTTTTTAATAATACAGAAATAGTATATCAGTCAGAACTGAGATTTCTTGGAATTCACATGACAGAAACCCTAAAATGGTGCGCTCATGCTCAATTTCTAAAAGCAAAGATATGCAAAGTAATTTATATGGTGAAAATATTATAAGAAATAATGAGTCCATATATGATAAAAATTATTTATTTTTCGAATTTTGAGTTATGTACGAGAAATGGTATCGTATTGTGGGGTGGGGATGGGGAAAGTAAAAACATTTGTAAATTGCAAAAGCAGGTTCTTCGAGTGATTAGTGGTACTAGTAGTCACATGTCATGTAGACAAATTTTTAAAGATTACAATGTTTTAACATTGCCTTCTCTGTATATATTGGAGGTGACATACTTTATCAAAAAATACAAGGCTTTTATGGCAATAAATTCAGACATTCATAATTGTAACACACAAAGACAATTAAATTTTCACGTACAGCACTGTAATACAGCTCTTTTTAAGAGGAGTGTGATAAATATGGGAATTAGTTTGTATAATAAGGTCCCCAATCAAATAAAACAAAGGGAAAATTTTAACTCATTTAAAAAGGAATTAAATTCTTTTTTGCCAAAACATTCCTTTTATTCTGCAGATGAATTTATGTCTTTTGAGTCATCAAGTGTGTAAATGTAATATGTAGCTGATTAATCTGTTGTATTTGTGTAAAGACAATGAAATTAATGGTAACTAGATCTAGATAATATTATTCAAATGACAAACCCCCCTATATTAGGGTGGTACAGTACACTGTAAAGATATGCACGAGAATTAGATGTATAACGGACAATTTCTCTATCCAAATGGTTGTAATACCTGTATGTATGGATTGTTGAATGATAATAAAATGATAAATGATGATGATAAGTGATAAATGATAAAAAAGATAAAAATCGCAGAAACTGAGATCTGGGGAGGCCACAGTCCCCTGCTAAATATTTTGTCTTCAAACACTTCCCATATTGCAACCATGGTTGCATTAGCTGTATGTGCTGTAGTGTTCTCTTGCTGAAAATACCCATATTGTCTTTCTTCAGCAGTCAGTTGATTGCAGAATGGATTCAGTATATCATTAACATAGCTGTCAGAGTTCACGGGTTTATAGAAAAAGAAGGGGCCAATGATTCGGAGCGGACTTACGGCACACCACGCCCCCACCTTTTCACCATGTAATGGCACTTGCTGTATGGTGTGAGGATTAATGTCCAGAAACATGATATTTGATATATACATATTTTATTAACCCAAAAATGCACATGATGAATTGCAGAATGTTTTGCAAAGAAACTTGCATAAAAACAAAACAAAAAAAAAAAACTTCTTGTAGTCTGCAAGTGAACTATACCGACCGAGCGACCGCCGCTTGTCAGCGAAGTTAGTACAAACTTTAGTGGATAGAGGGTGTTGCATGGCCAGCACACCGGATTGCCACAGCCATTAATCTCGGCTTTCTAGACTGGAGCCACTATTTCCTTGATATAGCTCCTCAGTTATCCTCACGAGGCTAAGTGGATCCTGTTCTAGGGCCACTACTTCTCAGAAAATCTGGTAGCGCCGGGAATCGAACCCGGACTTCTGGATCTTTGGCCAGGAACTCTGACTGCTAGACCACAAAGACAGTCGACACTTTTCACAAATTAAGGGTGATCATTTTAGTGAATCAGAGTGTGTATGATAAGGAAAGGAGAACGTAAAACTTCAGAATTAATTGATATAGAAAGGGAAAACTTCATATTTGTCATTTACTTATCAGACTCTGTAGGCTTACAGAATTTCATTGAATCCAAGGGGATCATGTCAACAGCTGTGTGTGCTGTTCTAGAATTGTAAATAAGCTGTGTAGTGTAGAGTTACCTTGTCTGTATGATCTGTTAGGAACAGTGAAATGAAAGTGGAGATAGGTCAAAGGAACATAATTAGTCATGAAAGCTTTTGCCTAGTTCCACCGGTAGTCATAAATGTTTGCAATAATTGACTCTATTAAGGGCTAAATAGTGAGAACTTTCTGCGCTTCAGAACTTAGAAATTCTAACAATAATCAGTGTTAATGCTCATCTTTGATGTGGGATGTTCTGCTGCTTGTGATGTCATTTGTATGAAGTTGTGATGATTGTTAGGAATAGATTGAGGGCAGGAAAAGAGAGCGATGTTCAGTGTGTGAGCATGAGATTGTGTTCAGAGCTTAACGGCCCTTGCTCCAACAAGAGAGGTTTTGCGGAAGTCCGTGGATCACACTTTACCGATGAAATGATGTACTTGATTTGTTTGACAGAAATACATGATTACGATTTGACAAGTCAGTCACTTTGGTTTGTGGGTACAACTGTTCTGGTATACAACCGTACATGACACTCAGTGGTTGTAATGAATACACTGAATACTGCACACAAGTGAATACTGCTGATGCTCTTATATATACACATACTGAATGTTACACTCTGATGATCTGCCTAGCGCCATCTGAAATCAGTCATTTAACTACCCATGGATGATGTAATATTCCAGAATCTTCCGCTTACAGATATTTCTTGAAGCTCCCACACTGTTCTACAGATTGAGAATGTTCTGGAAGTTTCTTTAATTGGGCTAGTGGGATGAGGTAAGCAAGTCATATACCGCACTGGCTGTCAAAGATCTTTCTAGTAGCTCTTATCTAAAAGTTCCTCACCACAAATTCTCAGAATAGTTAATGCAAAACAGTATAAGTCACATTTAGTACAACATTGGTATTAAGTCCCAGGTATTAATATTTAAGAATTAGGCAGATAGGTACTGATTGGCTACACAGTATAATTCCAGATTATGGAAAACTTACAGGTGACATGTGTAACTTGCCATACTCTGAAAAAACCGTTCGTTTCAAGAATAATCGTGTCCTTGATGCACAGACTGTGGTTCATTGTGTCTGATGCTGAAAACTACCGCTTCTTCTCTGACAGATCTTATAGCAGTGTTGAGTTGGTCCAAGAATTGGACAATCAAAAATATAAGCACACGGTTTGTTGCACCAAATATTTGGCCATAAAACTTTATTTAGTGGGTCGGCAGGCATTTAAAAACCCCTAACTTGCACACTTGAAATTTTTTGAAACGCGATGACTGGAAAGGGTTAAGATGTACTACAGGAGAACTTAGATGGTTACAAGTGAAGCTCTCCCGAGAAGGTGACATAAATAAGGTGAAGCAGCTGAGACAAAATTTTGGTGTGGAATAGCTGGCTGATAATGTAAGTAAACCAGACATCATTAGAAAAGTCATTGGAACAAATGTTTTTAATTTAGGAGTGCCAAGGAAGCAACAGTTTAGTGTGAGCCTTGACTAGATTCAGTGTTTGGTTGTTTCTCCTATATTTTTATATGAAAAGTGGTCAGTAGTTGAAACGTTAAAGAACAAAAATATGTGTTTATGAAAATTCGAATGCACATATTATTGCTTAAAGCCGAAAAACAAATTCTGGAAACTCAGTCACTGAAGAAGATTCACTCACAACATGTAGGAGCAGTTAAGAGTCTTTGACAAAAGTGACTAGCTGTGTGCGTTGATCATATCATTTTCTTAGGCCTTTAAAATAGTGGATGAAGTAGATGTAGGTATAATTACATTTTTGTTACTGTGTGGCTCATATTACTGATAATGGAAGAAAGTCCCAGCCAAAATAGCGGGAGAAGGTATGAAATAATAGACAAGTCCACAAGGTTAAGCAGACTTTCTACTCTGAACCTTTACATCATGTCAGTAGTCAGAGTACATGCAGCACCATAACTGTCATTTTCAGCAATTTCCAATCATCAGGAATATGTACATATGCCAGACAGGAGGTAAATATGCAGCATAGGGAGAGGTCCGTGCTGGAGTGTGGGTTTTATTTTGCACACCCGCACATCCAGGTCCAGCTGTCCCTGCCAATTCATTATTTACACTTGAATCTGGAATTTTGGCTGCAGCACTTTAGAGGCTCAGTTTTAGCATGAGTGTGTTGAACATCAAGTAGCTTTGTAGTACTTAACCCTGTTCCTGTTTTTCCATGACTTTCATGAGTCAGACAGTCTGGTGCATCTTTGATCATGTGACAAGACCACCTCCATGAAGATCTTTGGCTTTTTTAATATCCTTTCTGTAGTTGGTAGAGCCCCCTTACATGATTCCCAGTTCTCTCCCCCGTTTGGGTCTGCTGTGCTGGGTTCTTGTTTTGACTGTCAACGTACCCAGCTCTGTATTACATCAAGGGACCTGGTAATAAGATTATATCCTATTATAATGTGTCTACAGTTAGATCTGTATTTTGTACTGAGTGAATACTTTGTGATTTCCTGTTGCTTTTCTTGGAGGACATGGAAAGTAATTCTGGTTGTTGTTATGTTACCTGCATGTATTTGTGATCATACAGGGTGGTTCACGAAATGATCGAGTATTTGATCTATTAATAAAATATTTATTTCAGTTACAACACTAGAAACTAACATTAAAAAAAGAGACCAGTGCATGAAGATCTATCCTCTGTGAATGAAGTGCTCAGTATGACCACCATTATGTCTGGCAACTTCAGCATGATCTTTGATATTATTGATTGCTCTGTGGCACATATCCTCAGGTATCCTGTTGCAGGCCTGAATGAATTGTGTTCTCAATTCCATTATGTTAGCGGCTTTTTCGGAGAAATCTTTTCTTTAAGGAGTCCCCAAAGAAAGTAGTCACATGGGTTTAAATCAGGACTGTTTGCGGGGTCAGTTCTGTGTACATGCAAAACAATCAGGATATTGGTTTGAGATGACATGCGAGTTGAAAGTGTCATGCACAAAGTTCAGAACAGCATTTGCTGTGTGCAGCGTGTCTCCATCCTGCATGAATCACTGAGTTTGTAACGGCAGACCTGTAGCAAGAAGTCGAGGCACAAAAGTATTTTGCAGCATGCTTAAATAGTGCTCATTGTTCACTGTCTCTTAAAAAAATTGCCCATAGTAGTATATCACTTGAGGTGATATACACTGTAATTCTTGGTGCATGATGTACCTTCTCATGAAGCACACATGGATTCTCTGACGCCCAAAATCACACGTTTTGTTTATTAACCACACCACTCACTCAGTCATGGAGCTGAGTCCTTGAGATGCTGCAAATTGTGCAGCATTTTATGGAACCTGAAGGTTTGTTACCAAGTTCACAAGAGCCCTCCACTGGTCCCTATCCTGAGCCAGATCAAACCAGTCCATACCATCTCATTGTCTCTCTCCAACATCCATATTAATATTGTCCACCCACCTATGCCTTGGTCTTCCCAGTGGTCTCTTTTCTTCTGGCTTGACCACCAATATCCTATGTACATTTCTCTTCGCCCATGTTCGTGCTACATACCCCGCCCATCTCATCCTCCTTAACGTGATCATTCTAATTATACTTGGAGAAGTGTACAAGTAATGAAGCTCCTCATTATGCAGTTTTTGCCAACCTCCTGTCACTTCATCTCCCTTCTGTACAAATATTCTCCTCAACACCCTGTTCTCAAACACCTTTAGTCTCTGTTCTTCTCTTAATGTCAGAGACAAAGTTTCACACCCATACAGAACCACAGGCAAAATTGTAGTTTTGTATATTCTAATTTTTATGGGAAGACAGCAGATGAGAAACCAGAAGGTTCTGGACTGAATGGTAGCAAGCATTACCTGAGTTCAGTCTCCTCTTAATTTCCTCATGAATCAGGTTTTGATCTGTTACAGTCGTTCCCAAATATCTGAACTTAACCATATTTCAAAACATCTATTACCTTTCTTTATGTCATGATTTTGCTCTGCATTTTGGTGACGAGACAGCAGTATATACTTAGTTTTCTCTGTGTTTACTTCTAGACCAACCCATTATTAAAGTTTGTGTATTTTTCTTTTTGGTATCTTTAATATCACCCAGTAGATTCACATTATCAACATAGACCAACGGCTGATGTATCCCGTTTAATTTGCCCCATCTGATTTTCCTGGACGTTCCTAGTGGCATATTCTAAAGCAAAGTTGAAAAGTCGTGGCAATAAAGTGAGTGTCTCCTAGTTTTAGACCATTCTAGACAGAAGAATTATCAGACAAATGTTTACCTATATGGACTTTACTCTGTGTTTCCTAACTGAATCAGAGGCTTTCTTGAAGTCTATGAATAGCAGATGTACTGTCTCATATTTTTTCTCCAGTATCTGACGAATGCAAAATATCTGATCAGTATTTGACATGTTATGTCGAAACCCACACTGATGTTCCCCAATAATTTTATCTATGTATGGACTTAATCTTGGGAGAAGATTATTCGATAAAATTTTGTATGAAGTTGATAACAGTGATATCCCCAGATAATTAACCACAGTCAGTTTTATCACCATTCTTGTGAACTGGTACAATAAAAGACTCCTTCCACTGATCAGGCAATTTTTCCTTATGCCAAATAGAAGTAATAAGCTTATGGTTTTTAGAACATAATTTTTCGCCTCCTGCTTGAACGAGTTCTGCCAGAATTTGATCACTACTGGGTGATTTATATCTTTTCAATTTTGCAATAGCAATTTCAACCTCAAAAGGGCTAAGATCAGGTAATAACGGCTCAGCTGTATGCATTTCTGTCTGCCTAACATCACTGATCCTGTGTGCATTCAATAACTGAGAGAAGTAGTTCCTCCACCTATTCAAAATGTTATGGGAATCTGCAAGCAGTTTCACCATCCTCGTCCTTTACTAAGTTAATTGTAGTTTGGTGAACCCTCTTCAAGTCATTTATTCCTCTATACAGGTCTCTAATGTTCTTGTTCTTACTGTTAATTGCAAGCTCATATTGTGTTTCATATATTTCCTCATTTCATTCCTGAAATGTCTGTTGGTTTCATGTCTTATATTCAGATTATCCCCATTTATTTCACGTGGATCCTGTAATCACTAAAGTTTAGTTTGTTTCCTTTGGTCTAATAATTTTTAGCATCTTTAACTAAAACCATGGCTTATGTTTCTTCAGTTCATAGTAACCTAGACTCTCTTTGGGTGAAATTTTGTTATTCTCTCTAGTAGTTTCCCAAGCTCTATTAACATCCACCTCAGTGTCTTGAGTTTTCCAAAGCTGCAAACCTATTTGGGAGTTCAACACGATTCTGCGTACTCTCTACCTTCTTTAATTTCCTGAGATTGAACCTCTGCATGTGAACTCTGTGTGTTGTTTGCTTACTCACTGCCAGTCTTTCCCTAACCTTTGCCACCACCAGGTAGTGGTATCACAATCTGCTGCCCTGAATGATCAGACATCAGGTATACATGAATTCTGTCTCTTTTATATCAAAATACGGTCAATCTGGTTATGCATCTTCCCATCAGGAGATGTCCAAGTACATTTATGAATGTTACAGTGTGGAAACATCGTACTTTTAACCGTAAGATTTTTTGATGTGTCAAAGTTTACTACTCTAACTCCATTATCATTACTAATTTCGTGTACACTGTCATTCCCATTCGTTGGTTTGAAAATGTCTTCCCTACCTACTTTGGCATTGAAATCTCCTAACCAAAATTTTTTTATATGATACGTAAGGAAATATCAGATACCTGTTCTAGTTCTTCATAAAACCTGATGTTTATATCATCAATTTTATCTTCTGTTGGGACATGAACATTCAGAACGATATCACACCAGCAGCCTCTTACTATTATCTGTGATATCCTTTTACAGTGAACTCCGTCCTCTTAACTGCTGATATGATTCTATTATGTATGAATAAACCTGTACCTAATTCATGATTTTCAGTCCCCTTTCTATATAAAAATATATATTCACTTGCTGGTTCAGTGCCACCTCCATCCCATCTGACCTCCTGTACTCCCACTAAATGTAACTTATATTTTGAGATTTATTTCGCCACTGCCCTGAGCGAACCTGCGATTTACATACTCCTAACATTCCAAGTACCAAATCTCATATCCATATTCTTTCACTTAGGTCATTTATCCAAGGAATCCGTCCAGGTCTGAGGCTTCTTGCAAATTTTCGTAACAAGATTATTTTTATGGTGAGGAGTTGTTAGCCCCACGCCCAACCCCTAAGCTGGAGGACCACCCCTTGTCGGCTGTCCGCGACTGCTTCTTCAATGTGTTTGCAGATACGATCTGTTTTAACCACACCATTCAGGTGGAAATTGTGCCTGAGCAGAAACCAAACATTGTTGAACAGTACCTCATTAATCTGAGTCCATCCAGCACATACCATTCTTTGAAGTTTGTATGTTTTGAACTGTTAAGTTTTGGCAACACTGTCATTTGGTATGAACAAAAATTCAAATAACTTTTGAAAATTCGTTGTACCAAGCACGTGGATGTCTGTAGATGTGTCGCAGCCTTCCTTGTTGGTTTACTGGGGCTTTTTTTGCAGCGCCACTCTGGCATCATGAATTTTCTCCAGAGAACGTGCAGATGAAGGCTGGTGACATTTTCTCACCAACATTGAACCATCATTATGAATCTGTCTATAAAGTTTATGAATTGTTTTGAAGGAGAGCGCCCATCGCGTTTGAAAATGGGCATGAAACCACCTCCGTGTGACCACAACACTTCTAATTTCAATAAAGAATGACCCATTTTTATAGTTTATGAATTGTTTTGAAGGAGAGCGCCCATCGCGTTTGAAAATGGGCATGAAACCACCTCCGTGTGACCACAACACTTCTAATTTCAATAAAGAATGACCCATTTTTATGCAGTGTTCTATGGACAGTTTTCCTTTGTCAACCATCTTGTGTAAACTGGAGCCTGAGCAGGAACAGCGCGACATATCACGCTCAGTAAGAGTAAGAACTAATCTCCATGATCTACTGTATGTGTTACATACACACAAAACATTGTTCGTTGCATGGTTGAATAATTAATACTAAATCAAATACTGGATCATTTTGTGCGCCACTCTATATAAAGAATTCTTATCAGATTCACGCAGACTTACCATGTTGCCTGTTTTATTGGTTCCTAGCATCAGGTCGATAACCTTCCTATATTTAGCAAACACGTTTTTAGACGGTCGAGATTATATGCCTTTCTTAAAGAGGGGGAAAACATTAGCATACATTTTGGGGAATGGAAGGACAATCTTCTGCTGACAAAACCAACTTGTAGGCTGCGTACTGCGTATGTGCTATGAGTTAGACAGCCCTTCTGTCAAATGTCTGGAAGACTTCTTGTTTTCTGGGATGTGATGTGATGTGATTGCAGGTTCCCCTGAAACATTTGCTCATCCTACTAACTGTAAGAAGACCTCAAGTCTCACAAAGTGTGTTTTACTGCCCCCCTGCTATTCATTTATCCCCATCTTTTGCTCATTATCGTTTAGTATTTTAAAGCATGCTAAACCCTCTAACTTATTTCTCATATGCTTGTTTCATATTTTATCAACAGATTCCCTAAATGTTGATTCTAAAGGGGAACTATGGCTGAAAGTTTGGCTGATGGTTTCTACGCTGCTCTTGCAAATGTGAAGGCACAGCAGGATTCTAGGTCTAGCAGAGAGAATGTGCAGATAAAACGCTCGTCAGCCCAGTCTGTAAGCACAGAGAACCTTGTTGGTAATGAATTACAATCCAGGAAGAAATCGAGACCGCTGAAAAGAGATACTTCTTTGGACCATTTCGGGAACACTTCAGTAATAAAGGATAATGGAAAGTATGAAGCATTATCTAAGAAGAAAAAGAATATTTCCAAACCTACAGAAAGAATTCTACCTCCTACAGAAGACCAGACATTGGGTGCACAGGGAGGAAATAGAAAACATGATGGAGAAAGAAGTCATTCTTATTGTTCTGCTGATGATGTTGGATGGAAGAGAGTGCCTAAACATAAGAATAGTAAAAGTAGAAACCAGAAGCCTAATTCTGGATACCTGAAGGGTGAAATTGTTTCAAATTCCTTTAACAAGGCAGGAAAGTGTTTTGAGACGGAGGCAGGTCATGATAGACTTAATACAGAAGGAGGGCATCAAAGTGGAGGTCATGCTGCTCCTACACAGGAACAATATCAAAGACTGTCACAACAAGGAGTGGAGCGAAAGTGTGTTCTGGGGTACAGACAGCTTGAAAAACTAGCTGATGAAGAGCCGTATGATATTATTATGGTGTTAGCCAACCAAAGGCGTGAGTTTGAAACACTCTTAAAACAGCCACTGAAGCCAGATATGTTAATTCTAATTGTAAGAGTTTTATCAAAACTCAGTAAAGCGGATTTGGAAGAAAACAAAGTTGCTGTTCTGTCTCTGGCTTGTATTCATGAATTTCTTGATCAGTTGTCACAACATATAGCTCTTATTCCTCTTGAAGTGAACAAAAAGAGGAAAGAGAATGTTGGAAACTTCTTTGAAGATCTTATGACTTTTCTGGAAACTGTTGTTAGTCTCCTGCCAAGTAAAGCAGTTCAAGGGTGTGGCAAAATTTTCATGATTACTGATATGTTGATAAAAAATTTTGAAGGACAGCAGCTTTCATGGTCTAATTTTGATGAAGTGAAGACAAAATTTGTGCATATCAAGGCTCAATATGAAGTCTGTATTGAAGATGAAAAAAGGAAGAAAAAGGAGGATGTGAATATATGTGCACTAGAAATTCAACAGGATGACTTCAGGAAAATAAGCATATACCCAAATGCAGAAGAGATCCTTGCTGAAGAGCCAGGATTTGTTAGACCAAACATCATTGATGGGGCATATGAGAGTGTGGATCATTATCTTGATACTCAGTTTCGTTTGTTGCGTGAAGATTTTGTTTCACCTCTGAGGGAAGGGATTTCAGGCTATATAAACATGACCAACAAGAGGATGACTAAAAAACTTAAAACTGTAACAATCTATCATAAGGTGGTATTTCTCACTCGTAAGGTTATAAAGGACCAATTTGGACTGGTTGTTTGTTTTGACCCAAACAAGCGTCTCAAGAAAGTAAACTGGGAGCATTCAAAACGACTTTTGTTTGGTTCATTAGTTCTGTTTTCAAGAAATGACTTTGCGAATATAATTTTTGGAACTGTGATGTACAGAGATCTGGAGGATCTAAAGGAAGGAAAGATTGTCATCAAGCTGTGTGAAGGCCCAGATGTTTGTGACTATATTGATTTATTTTCAAATGAATTTGTGATGGCCGAATCACAGGTGTATTTTGAACCATATTACCATGTTCTGAAGGCATTACAGACCATGAAACGGAAATCCTTCCCAATGGAGAAGTATATCATTCATGCAGAAATGTCATCCGATCCGCCGAAGTACATGTGTTCAGAGGGAGGCGTCCTGTTGGATATAGATGGTAGGACAGTTTGTGTTTTGCAAGATGATTCTTGGCCAGGACCATTGGAATTGGAACTTGATGTTTCTCAGTACAGGGCTTTCAAATCAGCCCTTACAAAAGAATTTGTCATTATACAGGGACCACCAGGAACAGGGAAGACTTTTCTAGGACTCAAAGTAGCCTCTGTACTCCTAAAAAATTCCCCTATATGGAATGCTTCTCGCAATCCAATCCTTCTAGTGTGCTACACAAATCATGCCTTGGATCAGTTCCTAGAAGGACTTATTGCAGTCACCAACAAAATTGTGCGAGTTGGTGGGCAATCAAAGAGCAAAATTCTAGAGGGCTTCAACTTGAGAGAGAAGCGTAAAAGTCACAAGCGAAAAAAAAATTTGTGTGATCGTATGAGAGAAATCTATTACAAAATATCTGGTATAAGGAAAGCCATACAGAGGGTTCTGACTTATCTGGAAATGATTGCCAACCACCGAGGAATTATTTCTTTGTCTGTTCTGAATGAAGTGCACATAATTCACGATCAACATTTAGATTGTTTTGCATCTCATAATTACATGCTTAGTGAAGAGCTGTTTACTGAATGGCTTGAATATGGAAAGTATGGCGATGTGCCTCCGTATGAGGCAGAAGGATATCGTAATGAGAACTGGGGTCAGAATGTTGACATAAATGACGATGATGATGCTGCTGCTGCTGCTGATGATGATGATGATGGTGAAGGTGAAGGTGATGGTGGCGGTGATAGTGATATTGAGGCGGAAGCAATTTGTGATGATGAGGAAGGCATGCAGTGCAACATGCTAGATGGTATGGAATCACAGCCTGACATTCAGCGTTCTTGTCTGACTTTCGCATTGGATTTAGAGAGGCTTGAAGAAGACATAGAATGGTATGAGTTACAAAAACAGTACCTGCAGACACAAATTAGAGAAGATCCAAGCCTTGTTTACAGGATGCACACGCTGGAGGATATGTGTGAGGACTTGAAACTGAGGTTGAACTATATCAAGAGGCAGCTTTGCCATAAGGGGAATGAAAATAGGAGTACAGTGGACCGTCTTTTGCAAGTAAGGGACTTATGGCAATTGCATGCAGAAGAAAGGTGGATTCTCTACAGATATTGGGCGGACAGATACAGAAATGCTTTGCTTGAGGAGTTGTGTAAACAAGAAGAAAAGTTAGGTTGTGAAACCAGGATGTATGAAGAAGCGCAGCAGATGAATGATCTTGACATACTTAAAGATTCACTGATTGTTGCCATGACGACTAGTGGAGCTGCCAAGCTGCATTCCTTGCTACAGGCTCTTAAAGCCAAAATAGGTAAGAGGAGTTATGAGTATTTATTGTTATGTAAAGTAATTTGTATGGACAGTTTGTCATGAAACTCGTGACTATAGGGTTTCATGTTAGGGGAGAGTATATAAACGTGGCGCATTTTTCAGATTTCCTTCCACAATGCAGAAATTGTTGATTATTTAAAGATGAATTATAACTTAAAAGAATCAAATGTCTTACGTGAAAGAGTGCATCTTTCTGAATAGGGCACGGTGTTTTACAAATTTCTACTATGTACTCTCTTCTTTAACAACTGTTAAATTTAGGAATACAGTGAAACCTCACTAATTTGGAATTCATTGTAAATTGGATAACTTCTTTTTGTGCATTAGAACCTTGATGATCACATTGGTACAATCAGGAAGTTCTAGCAGAAGAACAGTGCTAAAGGGGAACGCAAACCAAAATATTTATTTTATGATATGCAATCTAAGTTTCAAAATAAAGTTGTATTGCCTAAAAACACACTTGAAGTCCATTTTATAAGTTCACTGAACCTGTTTTCAGTAGTGCTTCTATAATTTTGGTCTTTCACTATTTCAGAAGAAATTTCGCTCACAGTTAGAATTAGTAAGGTCTTACTATGTAATTGTTCCCTTGTGTAATACTTATTGTGCATTCAAACGGGCCCTTATGTACATTGGAACTAAATCCTAACTATGAAAAGGGGACAGCAATTATTAGCTCTCTCTGACTGGAGTACAGTTATTGTATAAAGCAGAAGGAATAGGTTCCCTTACCATGAATTTTACTTCCATATGATTTTACATTTACTGCAGTTTATTCATGCCCCTAAAGTCTGCTGTTTAACTTCTGCCATGTGGATCCCCCTTGTCAGCACTCAAGTTACCAATTCACAGAGGAGATCTGTATGATGTGACAGATTCTTCATGGGTTTCTATAAGTGCCTTGAGTGTTCAGTTTTCACGCTACAGATGGTGCTAGCAGTAGGCACAAACTGGTTTCACAAATTCTCCATTTAATTGTATGTTTTCAGTTTCAGTTTTCATGAACTTGGTTTATTGTTTATGTTTATTGCATAAAATTTTCGCCTCTTTTTCTATCTTTGTTTCAAATTTGTGCATGCTTTATCACAATTTTTATTTCATATTTTCCTGTTATCTCCCTTCAACAAAGCCTCACCTCAGGTGTACTCATATGTAGCTGTAGTTATGTGATACATACTCTTGACAAAGGTGAAGCCTATTCATGAGGATGTAAGGATTTAGTTGGAAAAAATCTCTGGTCATGAGCCTCAAGGGGCTAGGCGCAAAGATGAACTGATTGGCGGTGAACTCCCTGTCATAAAGTAAGTCTGACTCTGACATGGGTTGTCTAGTGTTTGAGGTTAGCTCTTTCTAAGGACACAACAGAGCGAAGATAATCATCATCACTGGCACGGCAGCCCTTTGTGAGCCCTGGCCTTCCTCAGGATTGCTCGCCATTCTTCTCTATTCCTCCAGTTCTTTACACCCAAAATTCTTATGTCCTGGAGTGAACATAATATCGTAAAGAATAATTTTCATCTTCCGGGTTGTGGCGCTGTGTAGGCATTGTGTAAACTGACGTTTCGGAGGAATGTATCAGCTGCAGCCACCTGCTTGCGGATTTTTATACCCTGAAGATGGAGGTGATACATTCCTCAGGAATGTCAGTTTATACAATATCTACATGGCGCCACAGCCCAGAAGACAGCATTCTTCATAGTCACCGCTGAGATCTTAAATAATTTTCATGTCAGTTCTGTGATCCAATATTCAGTCTTTTATTTATTATTAAGTTATATTAAATATAATTTTGCAAGTATTGTAGTGTGTCTGCGTAATAGATGAACTGTGTTATTGCAGTGATTGTCGAAGAAGCAGCTGAAGTCTACGAAAGTCACATTGTTGCATCTGTGACACATCGTTGTGAACATCTCATCCTTATTGGTATGTTCTATCAAATAATATACTCAGATAATGAACTTCTCTTTTACCGGTGAATGCTCATTGCACCATAATTTTGTTTTCCAGTTCTATTTTCTATTCAAAATTAGCTAATAACCAGTGAATGTGCAAACTTCGTGATAATGCATAGGAAAGGGAAATAAATAAATATGTGTGTGTGTGTGTGCGTGTGCGTGCATGCGTGCGTGTGCATGCGTGCACAGTGTCCTTAAGTTATGATGTGGTTTTTAAGTTAAACCGTTTTGTAACAGTTATGATGGAAACATGAATCCAACTGAAATTGAAAGATAAGTTGTGGAACTCTTACCTCTGTTGGTGCTGAAAGTCGTCACCTTAAGCACATACATCTAGTATTCCAGTTCACACTCCACTGTGAACATGTGGAGTACAGTCTGATGTTAAGTAGCAGAGTCAAATCTAGAGATAAAGATTGGAAGATTTCAAACCCACTCTTCAGCTGTACTGTCAAACAAAAATTCTTACTTTGTTAACTAACCAACTCCATGGAGCTGAGTCATTGAGAATACTCTGGTTGCTCCACAACTCGAAGAATTCCCGAACATTTAATGAAACCAAAAGGTTCATGACAATGTTCATAGGAACCTTCCTCTGGACCTATCCTGAACCACATCAGTCCAGTCCATACCACTACATTTTATGTGTCTAAGATTTATTTTAATGTTATCCTCCTTCCTACATATTGGTCTTCCTTCTGGCTTTCCCACCAATATATGCTTTCCTCTTTGCCTCCATTTGTGCTACTTGCCATGCCCATCTCATCCTCATTGACTTGATCATTCTAATTATACTAGGCATAGAGTATAAGTAATGAAGCTCCTCATTATGCAGTTATCTCCAGCCTCTTGTGATTTCGCCTACCTTTGTCCAGATATTCTTCTCAGCACCCTGTTCTCAAACACCCTCACTCTACAAGTATGTTCCTCCCTTAATGTCAGAGACCAAGATTCACACACATACAGAACCACAGGCAAAGTTATACTTTTGTATATTCCAATTTTTACATATTTAGACAGCAGACAAGAAGACAAATGTTTCACAACTGAGTGGTAGCAGACATTACCAGAATTCAGCCTCCTCTCAGTTTCCTTCTGAATCAGATTTTTTTTTTTTTCATTATTCATTAATTCTCTTGGGGGGGGGGTGGAGTCAGGCTGGGTCCACTTGGCACGGCAGCCACTGATTGGCCTATTGTAGCCTGCCCCAGGTGATTATGATGATGGAGAATTTGATGGAATAAAGATTGGCAAGGGAAACCAAAGTACTCAGAGAAAACATGCCCCAGCGCCACTTTGTCCACCACAAATCCCACTTGACCAGAGCCGGGATCGAACACGGGCCGCTGCGGTGAGAAGCCAGTGACTAACCGCTTGAGCTGTGGTGCGGCCTTTTTTATTTTTTACTATCTTTCCCAAATATTTAACTGTGCCATATTTTCAAAGGGCCCGTTAGCTATCTTTTAATTGTGATGTTGCCCTGTATTCTGGCGACAAGACAGCAGAATGTAATCAGTTTTCTCTTCATCTGCTTATAGATCAACCTCCTTCCTGGCTTCAGTAATTAAAGTTTCTGTGTTTTGCTTTATGGTGTCTGTATTAACACCCAGTAGATTCATATCATCAGCATAGACCAACAGCTGATGTGTCCCATTTAATTTCAGTCCCACCTGGTTTTCCTGGACCTTCCTAATGACAGTTTAAAGCAAAATTGGATAGCAGTGGCAATAAAGCATCTCCTTTTTAGACCATTCTGAATAGGGAAAATGTCAGACAAATATTTACTTATACTGACTTTACTACAGGTTTCATTTAAACACATTTTAATAAGCATACCCAGTTGCATGGGATACTCCAAACTCAGTGAGAATATTGTACTGAATAATAGGCCTTTTTAATTCCATTTTTGAGATAAGTGACAACAGTTGAAATGATACCCAGATATTTAGATTGCCGAATTTGCGGTAGCAGCTACAGTCGGTCAGTGTAATGACAGAATTCAGCTGAAGAGAGGTAGTGAAGGTAAAGTTGTCCCTGTGCTTAACTAATTAAGCACCACTCCATGAAGATGTATGAGGAAGTGAGTGGATGTACAGATCCACGTTTTCTTGACCTCGGCACTATTTTGAGGTGAGTGGTTTGCTTCACTCCCTCACTTTAATCCCAGGGGAGAGAGAACCTGGTACCCATTGGATATGAGGCTGGGTGGGCCCCCAAAGCCAGTTTGGATGACTTGGAGAAGGGAAAATTCTTGACCCTACCGGGACTTGAACTCCAGCCCCTTGGTCGTCCATCCCATAGCTCGTCGCTATCCTGGCTGCTCCAGCTGAAGATGTGAGTAGGGATAACCCATCCCAGACCAAACCAAACGAAACCATAGCAGACCAAACCTGTAACCAATAATCAAAGTTAAACTTAATTTAGGTAATTAATTAGTTCCATGGAGCAGAAACCTTGAGAAGCTAGTAGTCGCCCAGTTAGTCAGGAGGTTCTCATCCACTTATGGTGCCCCAAATTACATCACTGTGTTCACAAGGCCTGCAGCTTGTCTCTGTGGAATCTGATGCGTCCGGTCCACTTGCTGTCACCTTGTTTCTTCAAGATCCATATTAACATTTTCCTCACATATTTCTCTAAATCATCCAGATGAACTGTTCCCTCCAGGTTTCCTGATTAAATTGTTGTTTACATTTCCCCTTCTCGGCTTAGTAATCCTGAAATATTTCCTGTATCGTAGAACTTCTGGGAGAGTTGAGGTTCTGGTGTTTTCATGGGGCTGTGAGGGTTACTGTTGTTTGGGATGTGGTGTTATATAGCCTTATAAGTATTTACTGATATTAGAAGGGTTTTTACCCTGAAGATGGAGGCACGTTGTTCCTCTGAAATGTCCTCAGTAAACACATGCCGGACTGCATGCTGTCACATCCCAAAGATTGTCATCTTGCTCTTTATGCAATTTTCTCCTAGAACGTTAAATATACCTGAGATGATTAACATTGTCCATCATAATTGCTGTTGCATGCCAAGGGTGTGTGACATTCTTTGTTAGGTGTATGAACAGGAAAGCCACAGCACAGAATAACTATGAAAATGTCCCATCACTGCATGATGTAAGATGTCGTTGCCCTAATGATAATGTTTCCTATGAATTTAAGAGCGTTTTATTTTTCTTCTTTATTTATTTATTTTTGCTTTTCCCCCATCTGTCTTTTCTGACTGATGCCGTGATAAAACCTTGAAATAAATTCTATCGTCATTGATCCTATACCATTCCTGGTAATCTGAGCATCTCAGATTCTTGCAGACATGAGGGAATTAAAGGTGAAGGATGGAAGTGAAAGTTGTGCCTGTGTTTATACATCATCTTATGAAGATTTATAAGGGAAGTGGAGGCAGATCACCATTTAGTCTTCTCATCACTGGGTGAAGATGGTGAGCTTTACACTCTGGCTACCTCACCTCTGGAAACAATAACCAAATGATGCACATTGTACCAGTTTGACTCTGTGTGGTTGTAACTCTGTGGTTTGTATGCAGGAGACCATAAGCAGTTGCGACCTACTCCTGCTGCATATAGACTTGCACGTGACTTCAACTTTGATATCTCCCTTTTTGAGCGGATGTTGAAGAATAAAATGCACTGTGAAGTGTTGAAAGTCCAGCATCGTATGAGACCGGAAATAGCAGAACTAATTGTTCCAGCCATCTACCCAGAGTTGCTGAATCATAACTCTGTATTGCAGTATGAGAGAGTCCGTGGTATGCTGAAGAGTGTGTTTTTTATCACACACAATCATGCAGAAGAAGAGGTACATAACATTTTAGTTGTTATTGGAGTTCTATTTTAAGTTGTCTGAGGATTATGAAATCACACAGGCTGTATATAAATTATCTTTACAACTTTACTCATGAATAAAACAGTGTGTGAGAAACATAGACACATTGTTTACACTCATCATGGGCAGCATTTATAATATGTACAGTGTCCAATCGACATTCAAGCTCCATCTGTGTACACTGCAGCATATCAGCATCAGTGATTCCAGTAGTGGCTTGAATATATAATCTAATATTGCTGGATAAGATAAANCCGTTAGAAAGAGCTAGCCTCAATCACGTTTCTGAAACATCGTGTTTTTATTTATCTTAAAAACCAGGACGATGGATAAAGTCCAGAAACCCAATATATCAGCGAGTGACAGTAACCTAAATTAAAATGGCGTTGTGACATTGCAGAGAGACTGTGGAAAACCATGAAAAATCCACTCTCAGAGGAGTCATCTGATGGCCAGGGTTTCAACTGGGATATGTCCAGCATTGACACATGAGTGCTTACCAGTCCACTGCAAAACTTGTTGGAAGTTTAAGTAACCAAGACTTTTTCACACATGTAGTGTTCTCTTGAATTGCAGGTGGAAGACATTTCTAGCCACAGGAACACTCATGAGGGTGATTTTCTCATTGCTCTATGCTACTATCTTGTCATGCAAGGATACTCACCGAGTCGTATTACGATTTTGGCAACATATTCTGGGCAAATGTTTTACTTACGTAGTGTGAGTATAAGATTATGCATCTGAATGAAAGATAATTTGTTTTAAAGTATTATCATTTATGTTCAGTGTATGCTGATTCTGAAAATTGGATATGCAGAAAAATCTCATTCTTTTGAATAAACAGAGAAATTACTTCCCTTAGCTCATACCATATTCACTTGCATAATTATTCTTATCCAAAAATCATGTCTGAAATTTGTAGGGCATAAAATATGTGAATATTACAAGTTTAATTTTGCATGTTATGTTGATCTGATGTAGGTGGACTCTTACCACATTTTCTTTGATGAAGAGTGAGACAGAAATGCCCCTTGATAAAATTTTGACAGTTCTCATCAGAAGTGATTGAATCTGAATGTGACATGAGAGCATGGTGAGCATATTCACACATATGGGCATCACTGTATGATTCTTTGATTAACACTGAGATGAAAATGGCCCGTGATAATATTTTGACTAATGCATATTTTGTAAGCAGATGTTCTGAAAGTGATTGTGATGTGGCAATGTTGTATGGATATTTTTCTCAATGGGCTCCACCATACAGATATTTGATAGACATGGAGACAAAAATTCCCCTTAATAAGATTTCACCTGGTGCATAATTTTTGCAAAAAATGTAATTTAAATTGGATTAAATGGATATACATATTTACCTATGGATCCTACCAAGTAACACATAATTTTAATGGGAAATACAGTTGAAGTTCTGCACACTGTGTCCTTCCCTGGCATAACAACCCTGTGTTATTGTTGGCCTCCCCCAGGGTCCTTCTCCATAGGTTTTTGTACACCAGGGATTCTGAGATGTTTCTCTACACTATCCAGCCCTTCTTGTGCCTTCAGGCTCCAAAGTGTTACTCTCCTAAGTGGAGATACCACATTTGCCTTGGCTAGGTGTCCTACCTACCTGAGCCTCCCCAATTTGGCAGTCCTCACTAGGGCATTGTATAAGTCACATAGCTTATAATTACATAGGCAGCCAAAAATTTCCTGGAATTCCGCTGCAGATGGAGAACAAGCTCAGCATGTCTGCTCGCAGGCACAACAGGTCTGGACAGGTTTCAGTGTGCAGTGTCGTTACTGTTCCATTTGAATTAGACGTGAGTGTTGGTCATTCGGTGCAATGTCACAGTTCGAACAGCGTGCGAACATCTAATTCATGTGCAGATTGGGAGAATCTGCTTCAGAGATGATATTGGCCCTGCAGCAAGTTTACGGTGATACTGCACTAAAGAAATCTGCAGTTTACAACTGGTTTTCCTGGTTTAAGAATGGGCAGGAGACGTTAGAGGAAGACCAGCACAGCGGGAGACCTTCGACATCCAGAACCGAAGAAATGAGTGGAAAAGTGTGACAACCAATTCAATGTGATCGAAGAATGACCATCGCCAAGTTGGAGCAAGAAGTTGGTACTGTTAATGGCCATTTCTACATGCAAGTTTTGCAGAGGTTATGCGATGCAGTTTGGAGGAAGCGGCGCAACAAGTGGCAGGGACAGCGATTTCCGCATCACGATAATGCACCAAGCCACACATCACTTGTGCAGCAATTCCTCGCCAAGAAAAACATTCCTGTCATCACTCAACAACTGTACTTTCCAGATCTCATTCCGAGTGACTTTTGGTTGTTCCCTACTCTGAAAATGGGCCTCAAGGGGACACGTTTCGCAACCATGGAAGACATCAAATCGAATGCAATGGCAGAGCTCCAGAAGATTCCAAAAGAAATCTTGCAACACTGCCTCCAACAATGGCAGGAGTGATGGAGCAAGTGTGTGTGCACGCAAGGGTCCTACTTTGAAGGTAAGCGTTGCCATATGTCCTACCATTAGAGTGTTATACCACCATTCCAGGAACTTTTTGACTGTCCCTCATATACTTAATTCGCCATCCTTCCTTTTCTATAGGTGGCCTGTAGATTTTCCTTAGTACTTTCCTCTTGAAGGTCCTGAGTTTTTGTCCATCCCCTTTAATGAGAGTCTGGTGCTCACTCCTGCTTATAAGTACAGGCTTCAGTAGGGTGTTGCAGAGTTTTCCCCTGGTTTTCCATTTCAGGTACCTGGATGTAAGCATATGCTTCAATCCATGTTAGCAGCTCTTTGTTTTTCCTCACCTACAGTTGATTTCAGCAATTATCTGATCAGTATTCGTGGCTTGGGTGTCAGGTGTTTAAACTCGTTCACACACTCAGCCTCATACTTCATCAACATAGTTTACCTTCTGGTCTTGTTACGTCCATGTATTTGGTTTTCCTTCATTAACCTGTACTCCCATCTCTCATGCAGTTCTTCCTAAATTTTCAACTGCTTCTCTAACTGCCTTCTCCGTTCTCCTGATAATGTCTGTGTCGGTGTATGCAAATATTTGGACTGCCTTGTGGTATATTGTGCCTCCTTTTTCTGTACTTGATGCCCTTATAGGTTTCTCCAGGCCCATATTAAATAACATACATGACAGTTCCTGGTCTTGAAAGGCTCGGATAGCCCATCATTTGCCTTGACTCTGCACTGTACACTTTTCGGTGTAGCTTTAGTCAAATTTGGTATATGCTGACACTNTAAATTCAATTCAATGGGTCTTTTCTGAAATGTCTTATTGCATGTATCTGATTATAAGTGGACATTCCAACACAACACATGCATTGATAAGTTCCTTGTGTCTGTTCTGTATGCAGTTGGAGTCATCCATATATAGATCAAAAAATACTTTATATTCCGTATTTAACATAATCCCCTGATAATTACTACAGTCTAGTTGGAATTCCATCTTAAGTATTGGGCATATAATACCCTCTTCCCATTCTTGAAGTATTTATTCTGTCTTCCAGACCATTTCCACTTGAATACATATTCTGTGAGGAAGAACTGTGTTTTCTTCTTTTAGTAGTTCAGCATTGATACTATCTGGTCCTGGTACTCTATTCCTCGCTCTTTTCCTCTTTATCTTTACCATACAGTTTTTTTTTAAATATTGATTCCATCTTTCATAGATTGGCTTCCTGTCACTCAGAGTTTCTCTGCAACTAGAGGTTCTAAGTTTGGAAAGCCCCTTCTCATCAGGTTGACATGCTGAAAAACCATCAACTTTCCTTTTGACAGTTCAAGTTTTCAGCTTATTTAAGCTGTTTTTCCCGATGTACTCATATCTATGCATAGTTTTTTTTCTTGTTTCGTTAGTTCCCTGTATTGATCTTTTGCATTTTGAATATTACTCTCTCTGTATCATAACTCTACAATGTGCTATTGGAAAGTTCCTGGACTAGGTCAAAAAAGAAATGCTAACTTAATTTACTCAATTTTGGCTGCCATCTCCTTCAAAATAGTCTCCTTGGGGACATATACAGTAAACCCATCATTTTTTCCACTCTTCAAAAGCACCGTGGAAGTCATTTTCCTTACTGCTGTTGAGTACTGCTTGCAATTCCCTTTGGTTGTCAGACCCTGTTTCAAAATGTTGTCCCGTCAGTTTCATTTTCAATTTGGGAAACAGAGAGAAATCACAGGGGGGCTAATTCCGGTGAGCAGGGAGGATGGGCAGCTATAATCATTTTGTTGTTAGTCACAAACCCTGTGGTTTTCATGAACATGTGGGTGGGTGCATTGTCGTGATGAAGGTGCCAGTTGTGTTCGCACCAAAGTTTCAGTCCTCCCACATTCTCTCTCAGGTGTTTCAGAACATCACAGTAAAGTCAAGAGTTGACTGTAGTGTTAGGAGGAACAAATTCACATGAACAGTTCTCTTCACATAAAAAAAAAAAAATTGAGAATGCTCTTTGTTGAACTCCGAACTTGCCTTGCCTTTTTTTGCTCTTGGCGATTGTGGGCTTTTCTACTGCGACATTTGTTACTTAGTTTCTGGATCGTAACTGTAAATCCAACTTTCGTAACCCATTATGCTCCTAGAGATATGAGTGTGAATCATTGTTAGCCTTCTGTCATAGCTCAAGACATATGTTTATGTGCTGCTGCTTCTGATAATTTGTTAGGAGACGAGGAACAGACTTTATGTAAATACAGCGCATGTTCAAATTTTCTGTTAACATCTCCTGACAAACTCCATTAACTGATCCCAGCAGTGTCTGCGAGCTCCTGAATTGTTCGGCAGTGGTCTTCGTGGATGAGTTCTCAAAATTTTTCAACATCTTTTGTCATGTTGCTGGTGCTTGGTCGCCCAAAACGTTTGTCATCTTCAGCTGGCACTTGACCAGCCTTGAAACATGAATGCCACTGAAAAACCTCTGTCCGGTGTAAAGAATGTTCTCCAAAAGCCTCATGAAGCATTTCAAGGGTTTTGGTGACAGAATAACAGAGCTTCATACAAAACTTGATGCAGACACATGGCTTGATTTTGCCATCCATCACATACAAAATGAAATGCGAAGTCGAAAAAGCACTCTTGTAAAAACAATGCTGGTTCACAGTGTTGTGTCACATGGTGGGGTTGTTAGCTCCACCCCGAACCTGTACCTGGAGGACCAGGGAATACAGTTCATGAGACCCCTACCATTCGACCTGTCTGGAATCGTTGACTCAACCAGGGCCTTATGCTCCCAGCAACATAGCTCTCTGGGTCAGGGACACAGAAACAATCTTTGTGCGATAGGGCAGTATTCCATAAGGAGGGCATACTGTGTTGCTTTTGCATTTTTGTTGAAGTCATGTGTAGAAACCCAGTATTTAACTTTCTGCTGAAATATGTGGTGTGATAGCAGGTCTGCATAAATTGTGCAGAGGTGTAAATTTCATGGGGAAATACAATAAATGTGTATGTAATTAATGATATACATTTTAAAATTTACACTGCTGAGCCGTTAGTACCTGAAAATGGTTTGGACAAAATGGAAATTTCTGCTGAGAGGTTTAAAATGTTCATATTCCAGCAGAATTGTTCAAAGCATGTTGCAAGTTTTGAGGTCCACAAACTTCATTCTGGTTGTAAGATTTGAGATGTCAGCATTGGAAGGAGTCTGTCGTCTTACCTATTTATAAAATGGTGAAGTATCCTCACTGTGATCAGCTTCATACAAAAATGTTTATAACATACTTTTTCAAGGTTATTGTGATGATGAAATTATTTGGGATCCTTATTATGGATTCCAGAGTAATCTGTGTACACATGTCCAGTTTGTGGCTTATTAATGCACCTTCTGGAGTGCTCACAAACCTGCAAGGAACCTGTTAAGTTTCTTCTAACTTTGTGGGGTGCTCACAAACCTGAAAGGAACCCGTTAGTTATCCTCCATCTCTTTATCTGTAAGCATGAAACAGATCAAGAAGTGTTCAACAGATTATCTTGAAATTCTGTATTTCATAATTTTTTAAGGAAGTGTCAGGCCATTTCAGTTTCAATCTAGAGTCTGCAATTTTAACAACTATTTTACACGAAGACCTTCGTGCGTTTCTGTATCTGAAGCATAACTTGCTGAAAATTTACTAGAGTGAACATTGTTTTGACCACAGTTGCAGAGAAAATTTAAACAATATTTTCTTATGTTTAATACACTTTTCCTGTAAGTCTTAGGGTTTCTAGATAATTGTTCCAGTTGGATACTACTCATATACGTGTATCGCAGTTTCTGTATTCAGAAAACACCATGGTCTCCAGATCACACCCAAAGTTCAGGTTATCCATGTTCTTCAATTATTCCATCAGTTAGCAATGATAATTGGGACTGTATTGCATTGTGTATTTTTATTGAGACTGTTATACCAGTGAAATTAGTCATACTATTTAAAATGTATTTAAATGGCTCCTGTACTAAATTTGTGTAGGAAGACATTGTCTGATACATTTCCAGTTCATAATATTCTAAAGCCAGGATATGCTTTATTGCTGTTGCTGTTCAGCTTTACTGTAGAATGTGCAAATTAAGAGAATTCAGGAAAATTGTAATGATTGGAATTGTATGAAGTGTCTGAAGAAAAGCATATCAGCCTTGTTTGACTGTTTAAAGAACAGCATACATTTCTTGTTCCATAATTCTGTCCCAGTTTTATTTAGCCTTAATTGTTTGGGAGTAGTGAATTTAAACCCCCTGCTACTGTGGGTGCTGGCAGCAGATGTGTCAGTAGGCATATGTAATGACAAGCATGCACAGAGTCACAGTGTTGTGACATGTGGCTGATAATGGTCAGAAGTAATTACGAGAATTTGTGGCTTAGGTTGTGCACTAGGTTCTGTTCCAGGGAAGAAAAGAGTGTGTAACTTAAACCCTGAACTTTCAGTTCAGCTGGATGGTTTTACCAGACTTGTGGTAAAATCTGTATGGTGGCATCTTTCAAAAGCCCTCATGTTCACAAGAATGTTTCAGGATGGGAACTAGTGGAGGAGGCAGTATCATTCACAACTTTTGGGGGTTTTCAGTTGTGAGTCAGAAGAAGATAAATATCCTGCATGCTGTAAACTTGAAAATGCAGGATTTTAATTGGTGCATTTCATAAATTGGAATGCTGTTCATACTAGATTCTTTTTCCCTACAGTATGAATGTTGCCACATGACAGTATACTGTGCGATAATATTGGAATGATTGGTATTAACTCACTGGGTTTATAATTTCTAAAGATCCTTCACTAGTATGGGTCCACATGCCAGCACGAATTTGAATAGGTGTTTTAAAAGACATAAAAATTATAATATACAAAATAATAATTTTGCCTGTGGTTCTGTATGGGTGTGAAACTTGGTCTCTGACTTTAAGGGAGGAACGTAGGCTGAGGGTGTTTGAGAACAGGATGCTCAGGAGAATATTTGGACCGAAGAGAGATGAAATGATGGGAGGTTGGGGAAAACTGCAAAATTAGGGGCTTCATAACTTGTACTCTTCTCCAAGTATAATTAAAATGATGAAGTCAAGGAGGATGCAATATATGACATTGGTGGGAAAGCCAGAAGGAAGTAGACCACTGGCAAGACAAAGCCATAGGTGGGTGGAAAATATTAAAATGGATATTAGATAGACAGCCTGTTATGGATTGGATTGATCTGGCTCAGGATAGGGACCAGTGGAGGGCTCTTGTGAATACGGCAATGAATGTTCGGATTCCATAAAATGCTGGGAAGTTCTTGAGTAGCTGCACAATTGGCAGGTCCTCAAGAAGGTCTCAGCTCCATGAATGAGTGAATGAGTTTTCTGTGATGCTCTTATCTCTTGAACTAACACCATTTAGTAGAGCCTTTCTTTGGAAGAACCTAATAGTCACTCTGATTGCCTAGAAATTCCCCACCTTTCACTGAACCCAAAGACTCATTTGCTATGTTCAGAAAGGTTCAGCAGTGGATCAACAGAATCTGATCGGCATCCTTGCACCACATTTCTTTCAGATCTGTTTAAATAGTCTCTTGTCATGTCATGGGTGATTTCTTTCTGTCAGATAGTCAGACATTTTGTGTGCTTTTTTTTTTTCCAGTTATCCAGTGCATTTTGTATGGTCCATGTATTTCATCTTCCTTGGGTCGAACTTTATAGTAATACTTGATGAAGGGTGCAAATTGTGAAGAACATCTCTTCTTAAACATTGAGTAAAGATTTTGTATGTGTTTATAGGTACAGAAGAAATACAGTATGCTGGAAAAGGTAAAAATAATGGTGGTAGATAATTTCCAAGGAGAGGAGAATGACATAATCTTGCTCTCTTTGGTGCGGAGCAACAGAGAAGCAAAAATTGGCTTTCTCAGCGTTGAGAACAGAGTGTGTGTTGCATTGTCAAGAGCAAAGATGGGCTTCTACATTATTGGTAAGTATTAGTTGTTATATTTTAAAAACTAAGCATCTTTATTATGATATGCAGATTTCTAATTCCAATGATAGAATTAAAAGTACTTGGAATATTGTTACAACACTCTCTGGTAGAAATTCTCACATTAATCTACCTACCTTGTGTACCTACCAGCACTACAAACACTTTTGTTACAGCATATACGAACCCAGTAAACACTGCTGAATCTTTTAATGAATATTTTTTATCTCTAGCAAATACAATTATTACTAATATATCAACAAATTTTAATAATCGTAGTCTCACCGAAAATGTGAAAACTTTCAATGATTATTAATCTGCTACCCTAAATGTAACTTTTCCTATCGTCAGATGTAGCCCGGTCTCTATGAGTGAAATTGTAAATGTTATTGATAAATCTAAAATGACAAATTATAATGGTTATGATGAAATTCCTGTAAAAATTCTGAAAAATAGTATTCACTACATTGTTTCACCATTAACCTAAATAATAAATAGGTCGCTAACCCCTGGAATATTTCCAGATTGCCTGAAATTTGCAGAAATAAAACCCATATACAAAAAGAGGGACAAGAATATCATTAGTAACTATAGACCTATATTGCTCTTGACTTCCTTCTCAAAGATATTTGAGAATATGATATATGTGGTGTGTTCAAAAAGTATTGAATCTTCTTTTTTCCCGCGTAAACCAATTAAGCGCGGCAAGCTCCCTTCAGTGGAAATGTGGAGGGGACATTCGTGCGTAGTCATGAATTTTGTCCCGCCCGCAGAAAGCGTCAGTCGCTGGCAGTGGCCTATGAGTGAGGATGTGTAGTGAGCACTTGTCATATTCCACAGTAAGGTGTAAAATGATGGAACAACATGAGCAGCGACATTGCATCAAATTTTGCCAAAAGCTTGGAGATACCCAAGTGGAAACCATTAGCGAGATTCAACAGGCTTTCGGGGATGATGCCATGAGCAATTAACAGGTAAAGGAGTGGTACAACTGCTTCAAAGATGGCCGCACATCAGTGGACAGTGAACTGCCTTCAGGCAGACCCTTAACAAGCTGAAATGAGAATGTCATTGAGCAAGTGCGGACTTTGGTCATGGAGGACCATCGTATCACAGTCCGAGAACTTGCGAACGAGATAGGGGTAAGCATTGGATCGGTACATTCAATTTTGACCAAGGATTTGGGCATGAGGAGAGTGTCCACGAAATTTGTACCGAAACTGCTAACAATGGAGCAGAAGCAACATCGTCTGGAAATCGCACAGGAAATGCTGGACAATGCAAACAGTAACCCCAGCTTTCTGAACACAGTGATCACAGGCGATGAGTCGTGGGTTTATGGGTACGACCCAGAAACCAAGATGCAGTCGTCACAGTGGAAACATCCGACATCCCCGAGGCCAGAAANTGCCGCAGAAAGGAACCCGATTTGAGTCAAGAGAAGACATCATGCGGAATGTGACGGCCCGGCTGATCACCATTCCAAAAGACGCATTCCAGAAGTGTTTCCAACAATGGTGGAAGCGCTGGGAGAAGTGTTTGCATTACCAAGGAGACTACTTTGAAGGGGATTAGGGTTTTGTACCTCCAAATCAATAAATGTATTTCTGCCGACCAAAGGTTCGATACTTTTTGAACACACCACATATAATAGACTTTATCAACATGTGGTCAATAATAATATATTGGTCAAGGAACAGTTTAGATTTAGGACTAATCTTTCTACTAATAATGCCACTTCTAGATTGTTTGATCAGATATTGACAGCTTTGAATGAGGGATATAGTGTGGGAGGAATATTCTGTGATCTTGAAAAAGCCTTTGACTGTGTTAACCATAAGATTTTGTTACCTAAACTGGAATTTTATGGCATCTCGGGATTAATGCTCAAACTAATAGCATCATACTTACAAGGAAGATTTCAAAGAACAAGATTGCAGTCTAAATATTACAATCTGAATACTTGCTCTGATTGAGGTAATATCACTCATGGAGTTCCCCAAGGTTCCATCTTGGGCCCTTTACTTTTTCTGATCTATATTAATGATCTTCCTTTGGTTTTAAACAAGATCTCTGCCCCTATCCTTTTTGCTGATGACACCACTGTTATCATAAGGGAATCCGATCCCTCTATTCTTCGTAACAGGTTAATTAAGTCTTAAAAACTTTAAATATGTAGTTCAATATCAATTTATTGTCCTTAAATTTCTCTAAAACAGAGTATATTCTATTTGCAGCAAAAAGGTTTTATGAACAAGATAATCATTTAAAAATTGCATATGGTAATAAGGAGATATCTGATTCATGTCACACAAAGTTCCTAGGCATCAATATTACCAACACATTGTCCTGGAAGAAACATGTTGATCAACTTTTACCAAAACTTAGCACCGCTTGTTATGCAATTACAACTGTCAAGCCTTATGTTAATTTGGAAACTTTGTTGATGGTCTACTATGCTTATTTTCATTCCATCATGTGTTGTGGCATCATGTTTTGGGGAAATTCCTCATATGCTGTTAACATGTTCTGCTTGCATAAGAGGGTACTCGGAATAATGATACAGGAGACTGTACATTTATCTATGGAAAGGGGAATGAAAATCATGAATTGGATGCAGGTTTTTTCGTACATAAGAGAATCGTATAAGCAGTTAAGAGGGTAGAGTTCGTTAGTGATAGGATATCATACATAATACTAAAAGGTCGCTGGTGTGATATCATTGTTATGAATGTTCACGCCCCAACAGAAGATAAAATTGATGACATAAAGGATAGATTCTATGAAGAACTAGAACAGGTATTTGACAAATTGCCGAAGTACCCTATGAAAGTTTTGTTCGGAGATTTCAATGCCAAAGTAGGGAGCGAAGACATTTTCAAACAAACGATTGGGATTGAGAGTTTGGATGAAATTAGTAACAATAATGGAGTTAGAGTAGTAAACTTTGCCACATGAAAAAGTATTATTGTCAAAAGTACATTGTTCCCACATTGTAACATCCATAAATTTACTTGGACATCTCCTGATGGGAACATACACAATCTAATAGACCATATTTTGATAGACAGGAGACGGCATTCAAGTATCCTTCATGTCCGATCATTCAGGACAGCAGATTGTGATACTGACCACTACCTGGTGGTGGCAAAGGTTAGGGAAGGACTGGCAGTGAGCAAACAAACAACTCACAGAGTTCATATGGAGGTTCAGTCTCAAGAAATTAAACAAGGTAGAGAGGGTAAAGAGCAGTATTGTGTTGAAATCTGAAATAGGTTCCCGAATTTGGAAAGCTTGAACACTGAGGTGGATGTTAGTAAAGCTTGGGAAACTATTAGAGAGAATATAAAAATGTCTGCCAAAGAAAGGCTAGGTTATGAACTGAAGAAGCATAAGCCATGGTTCGATGAAGGATGCTCAAAATTATTAGATCAAAGAAAGCAGGCCAAATTGCAGTGGTTACAGGATCTAAGTGAGTTAAATGGTGATAATCTGAACAATATAAGACGTGAAACCAGCAGGCATTTCAGGAAAGAAAGAGGGAATATCTGAAAGACTAAATTGATGAGCTTGCAATGAACAGTAAGAACAAGAACATTAGAGACCTATATAGAGGAATAAATGACTTTAAGAGGGGTTACTAACCTAGCAGTAACTTAGTGAAGGATGAGAATGGTGATCTGCTTGCAGATTCCCACAACATTTTGAATAGGTGGAGGAACTACTTCTCTCAGTTATTGAATGTACATAGGGTCAGTGATGTTAGGCAGACAGGAGTCCATACAGATGAGCCGTTAGTACCTGATCCTAGCCCTTTTGAGTGAGCGCACGTAGTAAAGAATAGCAGCGGCACGCACACAGAAAGACTGCACAGGATAACACCTATACAGTGTGGAAACAAGAACTAGCTGCTGCAGCACTTTAAACATAGGGCGAATAACCCTAACAATTTTAAATTTTAAAATTTAGAGAAAAAATTTAAAGGTTTTTAAAATCAGAACTAAAAATGTTATTAAGAATTGAAAAGAATTACAATAAAGTCAAAATTAACGTGTGTAAAATAATCTACAAACCAGACAGCTATCAATGAAGTAGAAGTTGATAATAACAAGGAAAGTGTTTTTAAATGTTAAATTTTGAGCTGGGTGCAGTGTGACAGCGACGTGAGTGTTATACACCTGATGATGGCCGTCTGAGGCCGAAACATGTAGTGTAGGGGAGCAAGATCAAAGACACAAAATATATTGTTTGCACTTGAGACGGAGTTTGTATCATTTATCGTATAGAGTGCAACAGGATGCTTAAATATAATATTGTATACCTTTACTTTACTTTTATCTGGGTGGTTACAATACCTAATCGCCTTCAAAGTAGGCCCCTTGTGACTCCACACACTTAGCCCAGCGGTCCTTCCATCGCTGGAAGCAATTCTGGAAGGCTTCTTTTGGAATAGCATGCAGCTATGCCGTTGTGTTCTGTATGATGTCCTCGCGGCTCTCAGAACGGCTACTTGCACTTTGTTCCTAATTGTGGAGACTGATTTGAGTCATTGTGTACTTTGAGATAGCTCTTTTCCTAAGAATGGAGACTGTGTAACTTGAGTCATTGTGTACTTTGAGATAGCTCTTTTCCTAAGGATGGAGACTGTGTAACTTGAGTCATTGTGTACTTTGAGATAGCTCTTTTCCTAAGGATGGAGACTGTGTAACTTGAGTCATTGTGTACTTTGAGATAGCTCTTTTCCTAAGGATGGAGACTGTGTAACTTGAGTCATTGTGTACTTTGAGATAGCTCTTTTCCTAAGAATGGAGACTGTGTAACTTGAGTTGTAGGTTACTTGTATTTTAATGAAACTTAATGTGCATATCATGCCACCTGAGGCCATATCAATGGCATATTTATAAATCCTACCGATCAGTAGTACCAACACTGCAGCCTCTCAGATTGTTGAGGTAATAACCTTATTATAACTTGAATGCCTGAAAGATTGTCGTGAAACTTGTTGTGCATGTCATACTGTCAGCTAAGGCCATCTCAACTCAATAGCTTACTACTTCAATCCATTCCGTCAGTAATGCCGATGTTTCAGTCTCTCAGAACCTTGACAGTTCTTGAATGCTTGAACTGATGGTCATGAAACTTGGCATGTGTATTGTGGCACCTGATGTCATCTTGACAGCATACTTCATGAATCCCTCCTTTCCTTAATGCCAACACTGCACCCTCTACAATTGTATTGTTTTACTGACTTCATTATGCATTCATAGGCAAGTGTTTTTCTATTTGCATCAATGAGCAAATTGTAGTTAAAGGGAAATAGGTGATTAGTTTTTGCAAGAACCTCTTGTTATTTATTTTAATGGTTGATGCAGGTAACATGGACAATTTAACAAGGAGCAGCAAAATCTGGCCAAAGATCAAGGAAACATTGAAGAAACAACAGGCCTTGGGTACAGATTTGACATTGAGATGTCAGGTACATTCATCAGTGTTCACTAGAGTTTGCACTGCAGCAGATTTCCACAACGTTCCAGAAGGTGGATGTTTGCAAGTTTGTGGAGCTGAACTTCCATGTGGACACAGATGTAAACGTGTTTGTCATGTCCGAGACCAGGACCATGGGAACATTTTGTGTTTTGATCCATGTGATAGGTGAGAATTGTATTACTTTTTTAACTGTTAATGTCCACTGCCATGCAGCACTATGCTTGAGTTTGGATAAACCTACATATCTTTTCAATAATATACATAAACTATGAAATACATTATTCAGAAAAGTTTGTATTACTACTTGGGACTGTGCCTCACATGATTGCTTTGGAAGATCATCATAATTAAGATAAATATGCTTCTGTTTGCATTTTCTTCCAGTATGTGTTTACATTCAGCTTCCAGTATTTACATTTTACTAACATAAATACTCAGAAAAATGGACACCTCATGTAAACTTGTGCTCTCTCTCCAGCAGCCACCACTAGTGTAGCCGTATAGTTTCTGTAGGCACACTGTCGCCACGGATAGGGTGAAGGTAACTGCAGCCATTCGCTTTGAAGTGTTTAGGTGGACGCAGCTGCTTGCTGTGAATTGCCTTTTAGCAACTCTGAGGAAGCAGTCGATAACGTAGCGTCACCTTTGTAGTTGTCTGGGCGCCACCCAGTCAGGGAACATGAGAGTATCACCTGGGCTGTTAAGTGGGCCTTGGCTTCAACAAAGGCAGTCAAACAAAATTCGCTGCAACTTCACAACACGTACACTTTATTTTACATTACATCGTTGTTATAATTGTACTGAGGAACACATGTAGTCCTTTGTTCCTCCTTTGAAGAACTACGCTATCACGGGTCTTTTAACAGTTCAAGTATGTACCAGGCTTTGTCTCTCTTTGAACAAAGAAATGTGTTACCACCCTACTGCCGCTAGGCATGACACATACAGTAATAGGCATTTTTCATTGGTCATACATTTACAAGTAAATATTTTTTCTGTAATGAAGTGAATGAAACAACATTTACTTCATAATTGCCTTAATATGGATGGTTGTACAGTGGAACCTCACTTAACGAACACCTCTCATAACGAGTAATTCGCATAATGAGCAAAACAAATTGTAAAAAAACAACCCGCTTAACAAGCGACGTTTCGCATAACGAGTAACGAGAGGGGAAGTCCCGGATTGTGCACTTGCTACATCAGTCTGTGTTTAGCACTCCTTCCGCCAGCATCTTAGTGTCGCTTGTGATCACACATTTTTCCAAACTTGTGTTCAGACATATTTTTTATTTATTTTTTTTTGTGCAAAGTTTAATAACTCTTGCAAACGTGTCCCTGAAGAAAAAGCTGCAAAAAGACAGCCATAACAGAATAAAAATAACCGTAGAAATGAAACGTAAAATCTTTGAAAAGCGAGAACGAGGTGTGAGCGTGGCTGATCTAGCACACACATACAGTCGGTCTACATCAACGATTTGCCCGATTTGAAGTTGCATTGTGTTTCACAGCAAAAAGTTGTGGAGGAGAGTTTTGTCAGAGCAGGAGGAGGAGGTAACAGCAAAGCAACAATGTGTTATGTGATGCAGAATGCTGCTACAGCACAAAATCTTTCTGTTGTAGAGGTTTCCAAAAGTGTGGGAGGTGTAGAATTGTATAGTTATCAATTAATAATAATCCCTGTACAGCTTCATGCAGACATACTCCATACTTTGAACAAGCTGCAGAGTGGTACCGTGTACATGTATGTATCACATGAACAGTGGTTTGTTGTTGTTCTTTTATTGTTGTCTTCAGACTTTGTTTGGACTTCTTTAATATAAAACACAAATTACCAAACATTGCTGTGTTCCCAGACTACTCTGTCATTGAGCGAAAAACAGACAGAGGATCATTCTCTGTAGAGCCAGTAGTTAGATTTTTTCATTCTAAGTAAGCTATCATATGGAATGGAAACACCAAAGTGTCGCAAGGGGTGTAATTTTTTGCCCAGTCTCATATGCTTGTAGGCCTGATAATATGGTGATGATACTCTGTGAAGAATGTTTCCTGACAGGATGAGGTGCTGCATTTGCAGCATAATAGAGAGGATCCTGTAACATGCCATATGCATGTTCCTCCAAAAACCTCTTTTATAATTCAGAAAAGTCTTGTTGCAAAAAAATGACCCCTCCTCCTCTTTGTCAGACTTCTCTTATGAGTCCTGATGTATAATAATTATGATCCATTGCCGGCATCACTCAGATGGACATTTTTCAAATGCCCTGCCTTTTCTGCTGCATCTATGTGAGGACTAACTCAAATATACAACCATAAGCATATTTATACTACACCACTGCTGCTAAATTAGAAAGTCACATGTTACCACATCATGAACATAGTTTTTGTACTCATTCATTGCAGTTTTATGGCCACTTAATCACAACAATGGACACAAGGAATGGAATTTTTTCCTACACACCTACCAGTGTAATTTGTATACTTCATATAGTGAGTTCTGTTATAACATGTGATTTGGGTATAACATGATTATTAGGGAACACATCTTTCATAACATGAGGCCATTTTTTATGTGATGTGATCAAGTATGTTTTGGCTGGGGAAAAGAAGATATTTATGTGTGGTGTGGGGATAGGAGTTTTAACTGTTTTCATTACAGTTTTTCTGTAACACAGGATTTTTCGACAACAAGTGTTGTGTTATAGCAGAAGTGAAGGTACGTCAATGATGTGTTCCTATTTATTAAGTTATTCCAGTGGTACATGAATGTGTGCTTGCCATAGTTTGCTTTCTGTCTAGGATACCAGAGAATTGTGAACTACAGCATAAGTGCAGCAAGTTATGTTTTGAAGACTGTGGAGACTGCATAACTCCTGTGCCAAGAACATTAAGCTGTGGACACACAATTGATCTGCGCTGTTGTGTTGATGCTGAGGAATACAAGTGTCCAGTGGAAGTGGAGTGTGAATTGATTGATTGTGGGCACAAAGTGAAGAAGCCATGTCACATGGACATAGACCTCATTCCCTGTTCATATCCTTGTGAAGACCGTCTACCATGTGGTCACAGTTGTACATTAAGATGCCACAAAAAGGATGACCCTGATCATCTCCAAGTGAGTATTCATATCTACAAGTTTATATTTGAGTGTTGTGTTATGTTTCTCATTTAGTGGGAGTACAGGAGGTCGGATGGGATGGAGGTGGCACTGAACCAGCAGGAGACTATACATTTTTCTATCGAAAAGTGACCGAAAATCATGAATTAGAGACAGGTTTTCTTGTACGTAAGAGAATCATATCAGCAGTTCAGAGGGTAGAGTTCATTAGTGATGGGATGTCGTACATAATACTAAGAGGTCGCTGGTGTGGTATCATCATTCTGAATGTTCATGCCCCAACAGAAGATAAAATTGATGATATAAAGGACAGGTTATACGGAGAACTAGAACATGTATTTGATATTTTTCTAAAGTATCATATGAAAATTTTGTTAGGAGATTAAATGTAAAGTAGGTAGAAAAGATAGTGTGACATGTCTAACCGTTGCTGGGCAACAAGAGGTAGAACGAGCTACCATGAAGACAGACCCTTGATAAACGGTCGGTTCCCAAGTTATGCAACGGTAAGGAAAGCGGTGTTTCTCCATGCCATGCCGAGTAGAGCTGAGGCGAGCCGAAGCACACTTGTTGCTACACAGCAATGAACAACTATCGGCAGTGTTGCCCAGCAGCGCCTGTAAACATGATGTTACGCAACAGTGGTACCTATCACGTAACTGTCTTCTGTGTTGTCAGTGCAGAAGCTACATAATTAGGAGTATTAGTCGGTGCTGACCCAGTTACTAGACAGAGAGTTAAGATTATTGAGTATGGCAGTATTCAGTATGAGTTGAAGTCCACAGCTACGAGTTGTTCTTGAGTTGTGTTCTGGAATGGAAGTGACTACAGTAGGAGAAGTAGTTGTGATACTGCAGATGGCAATAATTGTGAATTGTGTAAGTGTCAGAGCAAATGGGCAAATACAAAACAAATGGTGGAATATACTAAAAAGAGGGAACCTAATGATCATAAAAGAAAATTTCCACATTTATCACTTTGTTATAATTAACAAACTAATAGAAGAACAAAAACATAATAAGGAGAGAGCCAAGGGGTATAAATATGCGACACTATATACCTTAGACTAGTACAACAACACAAAGTGCTCTGTACAATGGGACCACAACACTAAAGGCAGGACTAAAATAAAAAACTCACTGTCACATAAAATTAGGTTTATAGGAACTCCACATAATACCCGTACTATAATTGCTACTTCCTGTTCTGCAGACGTCGAAACACGTCATTATACACAGTCTTCTTCCTTTAGTGAGAAGAAATTGCAAGGGACAGACCATTGGCTCTGGTTTTAAAAAAAGTTTTTATAACTTTGCTTTTAAATACTTGACTGTGTAAATAATTTAGTTATGATAACTTATAAATGTTCGAACCACTTCATGTACTTAAAGTGGTCACAAGGTATAACTTTTATATATTATTGACGTAATAGTGGTTTCCAAAATGTTGATTGTGTCCTTCAGAAGATGGTTAAACCGACTGAAACAAGTTGAGGAAAATGAAATGTTGAAATACAACTTTTATAACTCAATCACACTGGACAGTGCTACAAGTCATTTTATACTATCGCTAGTGTGACGGACCAAGATGAACCAAGCCAAATGTAAAGTCCTTATTATGACAAAGACACAGGAGAGCATACACTTAATACGAAGCTTGAAATAACGCGTCTTGTCTGTAGTTGCTGGGCTGTTGGAAAGTGAAGTAGGAAGATTATATGAATTGACTTCTTTGACATTTGATTTGTTTCATTCTGGTCCCACACACTAACAGTGTTACAAATGATAAAATAATTCCATCCAGTGTGACTGTTGAAGCTTTTACTACTTCACTTCTTAGCACCCTAACATGTTTCGGTCCCTATTGACCATCATTGGAGGGAACATCAATACAAGTAGTAAAAGCTTCAACAGTCACACTGGATGGAATTGTTTTGTCATTTGTAATATTGTTCTCTGACATTGTTCGTCACACTGAAGACAGACAATTGAAGTTCCATCACTTAAACATTAAACATTAATTTATGTTATATATTAAAAATTTCTCTCTCTAGTACCAGTGTCACAAGCCATGCACCAGAAAGAATGCCAACTGCAGGGAGGACCACACATGTCCGAAGCTGTGTTATGAGGAATGTGGTGATTGCAGCGTTCTAGTTGAAAAGATACTGCCTGACTGTGGGCACACTGAACGTATGTTATGCTATATGGATCCTGAAACATATTGTTGCATGAGAAAGTGCAGTAAGATGCTGCCGTGTGAACATCCATGTCGCAATGTTTGTTCTGCCCGTTGTGGCAATTGCCAAGTCCAGGTGAGTAGAAGAGTTCTGCAAACAGTGACTGCCATACACTTAAGGTAACAGCATCAGCGCAAAAGACACATTAGAAAATAAACATAAAAACACACATAAAGAGATCGTAACTTTTCTGCTCTCAGTGTAAATATCACATTACCATAAGGGGTTTTGGAAGTTATTTTGCTTGACTGGTTCTGTGTGCTTTGAATTGATTTCGATATTCTGATCGTGTTATTAGTAGAAGAGGCCCTCAAAAATTTCTTTCTGAGCAGACATGAAGTTATGCATTTGTGATCCAGAATGTGCTGCTGCTGCTGTCAGTGCCTAGCCTGCTTTTGCTTCAGCATTTCTGGACATCTTACTTCTTCTTTGCTGTGATATGTTTGTCCAATCTGTTCATCGCCATATCATTAATACAGCTAATTAAGTTTTTATTTTAACATGAAGCTGAATTACTGATGTTCCCGTAAGTGTTAATCTGGCAGTTATTTCATGTCCATTAACACCAAACGGAATGCACTGCAGGAAAATATTTGTATTTCAGCCATAAGAAAGGAGTGTAACATACAAGCTGTTTGATTCTTTGCTGTAACACATTTAAGTTCTCATTGAAAACTTTGAACCAGTCACTTATATGTCCAGAAGAACCCTGTTCAGTTTATTTTGGTACACACTTATCTCACCCAGTCTCTGTTCTTGCCTGTCACTTCATTGGTGTGTGGTAGTACAATGAGAGAGACTGTTCCCTTACCAGTGTCCTTGAGTGTTAGTTTTCAAGGACATAATCTTAAAGCATTACTGGAAGTGCTACATTGAGAATCCATTCTGTTTGACGTGTTCTTGACTGTACTTTCCTCAGGACATAACCGAAGCATTAGTAGATTTACTGCATTGAGAATCCAATCTGATAGGAATATTCTTCACCGACCTTTCTCTGAGAACATAATCAGTGCACTACAGGAAGTAATTGTTAATCATTGCATTGTGTTAGCACTGTCCTTGACTGACTCCTTCCTAGGACATACTTGAAACAGAGCTAGAAACATGGCTGGCCATTTCCACTGTCCATGACTAGTGTCCTCCTGGGATGTCTAAAATTGTTTTATTGACAATGACTTTGATTTGTTTGCATTGACCTGATTTGTGTAGTTCCTGATCCTATCAAAGGGGGATTTCTTTTTTCTAAGTATTAATTCTTTAGTTAGAATATCTCTGTCTACAGGTACTGTGACTCTTATTGCTGCAGATTTTCAGTTATCCAGATGCCAGAGAATAATATTTTTGGTTTAGGAAAAGTCTGTCACATAAAAAAAGTGGACTGTTTTGTTGTAGGAACACACATCCTAACTTCTCCGGGCTTTGCACTACCCTCGTTTAATATCACTGGCATGTGGATGAGCTGATTGAGCATTTACTGTTGGCAGTATTAATGCGATTACTTCCAAGTTAAAATGTGGCAGCTGCCCTGTAGCACTGGGAAATTTCAGGTCTCTTATTACAAGATTTGTAAGGCATGAAATTATCAGTTAGGCTTACAGATACGCATGGAACTTTTTTAATTTGTGCACTAAGAAACTCGAAAGCTTTAGGGAAATAATAAGCATTTGTCATAAAGTCGGCACTCTGTGGACTCTGTCTACATATTTAATAGAAACATTTTTTCAACCTGTATGAAAGCTTGTAATATCTAGGTTTACGTTGGATGAATATCTGCTTTAGGTTACAAAGCAGCTAGTGAGTTGTGGACATCCTGTTGAAGTGAAGTGCTGCGAACAGCCAGATCCAGATCTGTGCAAGAGTCCTTGCAAGAGGACCTTGCCCTGTGGCCACAAGTGCACTGCTGTTTGTTCTGATGTATGCACCAAGAAATGTCTGGAGTTGATTCCCAGTGCAGTCCGACCTTTGTGTGGACATCTGGTGTATATTCCCTGCCACATGCAAGAGGAATGTGAGTATTACAGATTTTATTGAGTATGTTCGCTCTTCAGATGTCTGTATTTATACTTTATACTGTATTGAATAAAGTCAGATATTTGAGTCTTCTTTGATGTCCACATTGCAGCTCAGTATCATCAGAACTTTTTAGTATCCCTTAAGGAAAAGCACCAGGCTTATGTAATCACCTGCAGTCATCAGTGATGTGGTGGATATATATATATGTACTAGTAAGGTAACAATGGCACTAGAACCGTTAATGTTGGGGCATGAAGTTATGCACGAAAAATATACAACTTTTGTTAAGGTAATATTTTTTGCAGAATGTAGATCAGAGTGGTGGGGTACCATGCTTCAGTTAGCTATTAGATTAATGGTGATAGTTTTTAAGTGGGTTACATAAAGTGACCCATGTACCATGATTGCTCTTGATCTGCTGTGCATTCTCTTCTGGAGATTAGCCTTCTGCTCCTGTGATTCAAATGGGGTGCAGTCCTGTGCTTAATGGGTCATTGAAATGGTTACTTGGTGCCATGGCATGGGTTCCCAGGCAACAAAGTCTTTATTCAGCTGTAACCTCACAGTCACCCAGGATGTACAAAGCTGCTCCTCCTCTATTGTGACACTTTTTGTAGGTCCCAGTTTGAACGTGTTCTGCTGCGTGTGCTAGTGTCCTGCTGATGGCCCTGTTACTAGTTTCAGCTAGTACCTGTTCAGCTCCCATTTGCCTAAATATTTTAGAAAGTTCCTGTTGTGGGAAATCCAGCACACATTTTTGTCCAGATATGGATTTCCAGTGTTTGCATACAATTTTCATACTCGGTCTGTGGTGGCCAACTTAGCCATTCTTTTCAAGATGTTGCAGGCTAGTCCACATCACTCAAGTCACTACAAATATTACACATAATTAAGATCTTCAATCACCCTTTAAATCTTAACAGGTCTTATACGAACTTCCCGTTGCTGTTACTTAAACACACTCAAACACACTCGAAGTGCTGGATGTTGAATCTTTATACATTTTAATGGTTCTACAGTATGTAAGATTTGAGGCTTTCACGGCGGTGACTATGAAGAATGCAGTCTTCTGGGATTTGGCACCGTGTATATGTGGTGTTAACCGACGTTTCGGAGGAACGTATCGCCCCCATCTTCAGGGTTGAAGAAAAAGTATAAGTAAATCTGCAAGCGACAACACCGTGAGACACGATCAAGCAGACTGCTTGATCGTGTCTCACGGTGTTGTCGCTTGCAGATTTACTTATACTTTTTCTTCAACCCTGAAGATGGGGGCGATACGTTCCTCCGAAACGTCGGTTAACACCACATATACATGGTGCCAAATCCCAGAAGACTGCATTCTTCGGTTCTACAGTATGTTCGGCCTTTTTGTTTATGGTACTGAGAGCTGTCTCAACAGGTTTTGGAACATTACTGCTATCCGCTGTTTTCTGCATGGCTGCTTACCTAAAGTGGCGACCATATGTGGCTGTTGGTGGCCACACATCTATGAGAGCACTTACCTCCATCCAGCTTGTGAGGTGCATTTCTTCCTCTTTTGGTGTTCCACTTAACTCAAATCTCTGCCGGGATGATTTCTGATTGCCCTCAATTATCTTATTAAAATAATAATACTTCGTATTGATCCCAAGGTCTGTCAGAGGCTCTGGGTATATTATGAGAGTTGACCTCAGAGAGCCAAATTCCTTCTTCTGTGGTCATGTTAAACCTCCTGTCTGATGGCTGTCCTTGCATATTTTCAGCTTTGAACCCCTGGCACCAGCCAGGCCCTCCTAGCTTCCTGGCACTCACAAGGAGTCTGGTCTTTACCAGTTGAAGGCTGCCTGCTTTGGAGGCTGTCTTTCCGCAGACTTTATAGTACAGCTGACTCATTGCCCTATCTTCTTGCAGTGTTCATGCAGTCAGCAGTCAGGTAGTTCTATCGTGGGACATACTTTATGGTACCATCACAGTAAATCAGGGTCTTTTCTCCTATCAGGGCTTGTGACCATAATTTTGTTCTAAGACTTTTCTGTGGTTTGTAATGAGGTCTCTTCAATTGGAGGAATTGTCTGACCACTATTAATTACTCCCGCTCTGTTGGGGACTACTCGAGTGGGCACTCGCTCATGAACTGGCTCTCTATCTCTACTCTTCTCCCCCCACTCTCTTTCTCCCTTCCACCTTCTCTCTCTTTCACCCACGCATGCACAAAAACTCTGATATAGCATTGTAGCGGACCGAACAGAATACACTGCTTCTATTGTTGGGTGAGATTGCATCCACACAGACCTCATAGAAAACACCATTCCTAGCAATACTCCTGTTGGTTACTTTGAGTGGTGTGACATATTCCATTGTTACATTGCTGTTTATGGTGCTGGACCAGTAACGGACGTCTGTTATGATTAAACTATTCCGACTTTCGGCGAACATGGCACAGTGTATATGTTTGTTTCTAATTTCCATTTCATTGAAGAAACCAAACTTCTTGTTTTATGCACCCATTGACATTTGAGTTATTTAATATTTTAACCATTTCAGAAACCACGAGATTGGAGAATTGTTACTTCACCGATATAGCGATTTATTTTCTTTCACTGGACTGATGCAGAATATTTGTTTGTAGCAAACTTCCATCAGCTGAATTTTTGTGATAGAAGATTATTTATGTTTCCATGATATGCATTGGAATCTCCTCTTTGTGTTCCTCAGTTTGACGTTTTCTGCACATTTAGCATTCATTTTCAGTGATCTGAAGTCAGTCAGTAATCTGAGTGTTAAATTTCCTTTATTTAATAATACTGTGGGTGGTTCAGTGTTGAAAAGTAGTGCTTCCCTGGAAACCTAAAAGGGGAGTTTGCTGTACATTTCTTTACTTGGCAGCGAACTGTCTCTAAGCTGGGTTGTGTTCTGTCCTAGTGTTGACTCCAGATTCTCAAGAACTGCTCTCCCGATGCCAGATGCCATGTGGTGTCTTACTCGATTGTAATCATCGATGCGTAGGGACGTGCGGAGAGTGTATGCAAGGGCGTATACATGAGGCCTGCAAGGAGAAGTGTGGAAGAATACTGGTCTGTGGACACAGGTAGACTTGGAAGATGCGAGATTACGTTGGCTTGGAGGTGGCTGCAGCTGTATTGAATAAGCTATAAAAGAATGGTCCTCCAATTTGGGGGTGGGACAGGGAACTAAGACCCCTCCACCATAATAATGTTACACAAGGCCCCCCTGACTTGCATGGAATAACCAAAGCAACAGGAAATGGGAATGAGATTCAGAATTTTGAATGCAAGGAGCTGCTTATAGGTTGGGTTTATTGAACACCATAGCAAAATAATTGTGATGTGTAAGTTGAATTTACTGGTACAGGCACGCCAGATGGGATAGAAGTGGTCTGAACCGGTACACAGCCCTTGTGAATATGGTAATGAGCCTTCATGTACTGTAAAAGATGCAGGAAACAAGTTTTTATAGTGTTCTGGCCTCTGGTATGTAGTATAATCTGGTAGGTTACTTAAATTTCTACCAGTCTTTATGGCATGACAACCCAGAAGGCGGTGCTCTTCATAATCACTGCTGTGAGAACCTAAATTCTCAACCACATATTCATGTTTTCATTATCATTAATTTCCATTCAGTAATCGTACGGCTGAAGGTACATCTTACCCATATCTCTCACCTCTGGGTGCAATTTGCAGAAGTTATGCCCAAGAAGCAGTGTATTTACAGTGAGGTACATATGCAGCTGGTACTGCCTTGAAAGTAAGAAATAAATAAGAAAACCAACTAAGAGATAATTTAGGGTATTTTGCTTGGAGGAAATTTAATTTTGCTTAGTGCATAATGAATCTGGTGACACTCTGTAGCATCATTGGTTGAGGCAGCATGCTACAAGCCAGAAGGTTGCAGGTTCATTTCCCGATGAGTTCATTGGATTTTTCAATTCATATAATTCTTCCAGCCGCACTATGTCCCTGGAGTCAACTCAGCCTCTAACAGAAATGAGTACCAGGAATCTTCCGGGGGGCAAACAGCCAGTGGGTGTGTGAGGCTCCATATCTTCCTTGTGGGTCTTTCTATCGCCCTTCATTTCTTTCTTGCCGGTGTTTTCCATTTTCCCCGGCAGGCGTTCGATCATTTCTTCCATCTCCATCATGTGGGAGTGTAATGCATTGTAACATGTGGTGTGTTTAAGTTCGTAAACACTTCTGACACCAGATTGTCACGTGTTTGGTGGGAGACACGTGACAAAGAACTTCACGCTGTTTTGGATCAAGCGAATTTATTCCACTCGCTCTTACAGTTACACAATTCATAGTTTCACAGTTACTGCCATCTGCAGTATCACAATTACTTCTCCTGCTGTAGTCACTGCCATTCACTCGATACAACTCAACTTGTAGCTGCTGGACTTCAACTCATACTGAATACTAGTAAGTGGCTCAATACTCACTACTAGTAACTCTCTCGTAACTCAATCCTCACGACTCCTGAATAGTATTCGCTGCTCCTTATTTAGGCTCGGCATGGACAACATAGAGAACACATTGCTGCTCGGCCACAGATATCAGGTATTGTTGTCATGTGTTTCTACCTACACATTGCCTAGCAATAGTCGCTGCATGGATTCGCCTGTTGCGTGATGTCACAGCCTAGCAGGGAGGGGTGTTTACTGAGCGTTGCGTAATGATCGGAGGAGTTGGGATACATGATGTCACTCGTGGAAATGCAGAGTTCACGTGACCCCCCCTTCCTGTTGCGCCATCCACATTACAATATTGCTAGAGTTTGGGAAACCGTGAGAGAGAGTATCAGAATTTAATTCAAAGAATTGAAGACACATAATCCATGGTTCAGCAAAGGCCGTTCAGAGCTAGATGAAAGGAAACAAGTCACATGGCAAAGGATGCAGGATGGGGGATAATCTGTAATAAGACATGAAGCCAGTGGGATTTTCAGTAATAAAATGATAGAATATCTGAAAGACAAAATTAATGAAATTGCAACACACAGTAAGAACAAGAACATTAGAGACTGGTACAGAGAAATAAATGAATTGAGAACAAATAAATAACTATTCCAAAGACAACATTAATGACAATGATTGTGTTTTTTTTTTTCCTTTACATCCTTCGTGAGTAATGTCCAAAACAAAAATTATATTAGATCTTATTGTAACAAATTTGATCACATTGCCAGACAACAGCTCTGTAAACATGGCCTAACACGCAGTAGTAGAGTCAGCTTTGTTTTCCATGTCCACAGTGACATCACACAGCGGTGGGTGGTGGTCACGTGACATGTTTTCTGTGATGCTTGTCCATTCCTCATATAAGTGACAGAATTTGTTTGGTTCAGGGACAGTCATCAAGGACCATTGCTCAGACAGGGATGGTGGAAGAATAAGACCAGGAATAAATCTGCAAGAGGAACCCAGAAAGGATAGAGGCTCAGAAGAGACAGCTGGTGTTAGAAGTGGTATGGATCGGATCAGACTGATGAGATTATTGGATTTACGATTGCATCATGTACTTATGTCGTACATTATGGAGATGCAACAGCTGCTGGCCAACCATGAAAAGGCAGAGGCCAATAGAAAAGCCGATTGAGAAGATCTGTAGGAAATGGTGAAAGAAATGGATGAAATCAAAGAGGATGTGAATGCTAAAATGGATGCCAATACTAAAGCAATGCAAGAAAGAATGGAGAGGCAGATGGGTTCTCTAGTCTCCATTATGGAGGCTGCCAGAAAAATCGACAGACAAAATGAAACAAGAAACGAGAGCCGGCCAAGAACACAGTAAGGAAATAATGGAAACAGAATTTGCTTCTCTAGCCACCAAACTGGATGGCTGGCAAGAAAGATGCAGGCCGACTGAGAAGTGAGCAAGACCACAGATTTGAAGGCAAATTCTGAGGAAATGGAGTCCAAGGCTGAGCATCGAGAGGTCCCTAAGGAAGCTGCCATAGTGAAACTGGTCAAAGGATGGAAGAAGTGGCATAGGGGCCTGAAGCTAGCTGCAGGACAACGCAGAGAGCCAAAGGAACTGACCCGAGGAGATTGTGGATCCCAGAGAAAGTTGGCTGCTGCCTGCAGGAAGGTTCCCATCATGCAACAGTGGCACAGTGCTGGAGAAGCGTCTTCAGGAAAATTCTAACCCAGAGAAATTGTGGAACGCAGAAGGAATTGGCCACAGCCAGCAGGGAGATGACCCACTATGCAAATGTGGCACAATGCAAGGAACACAGGGTTCGATATAACACCCAAGAACCCTGAAGGGACGTACATCCAGGATAAAATGCTGGAAGGGCCAAGAATGCAAAATTTGAGTAAAGTATAGGCTCTGGCAACAACTTTATCACATTAAATTATTTTGGTACATTCAGGTTCTATAAAAATCAAGTTTCATATTATTGTTTTATTGGCTTAATTATGCATGCATAATTTAGTTTTTCCCAGAGCTTCTTGTTTCATATACCTGTGACAAATTCTATTTGTATGTTTTCCCTGTACCTCCATAAAACCTCCACCACAGGGTATCTGGGAATTTATATGGCATTTAATTGGTGCCAGTATGTGTTAACTATTGACCATTTGACCGATTTTTCACTAAATTTGGTATGAACATATGCCGACCCTATACCTATAACTTGTAAATGCAGCATGACAGGCATAGGTTGGAGTGATATTACTGCCATTTTATATAAGGTGCTAAAATTGTGTATGGCATCATTTCTACAGCTATGGGGCGTGGGCCTCAAGGGGTACACTGGTGAAGAATTGTTTGAAAAAGTAATTGTATCCAAACACAGTTTTGTTAGGTCAGTAGGATTTAATGTAGGTGCTTTCAGAAGATACAGCTGCAGCTGACAGAGCATTTTGCAAATGTTTTCATGACAGTTTTAGGGGCTTGCAATATCCCAAAGGTTGAGAGTTCCAGATATATGGTAATATAGTTTGTAAAAGTATGCAGTTAAGCACAGGGACAGTTTCACTTTTTTTCTTGGGTAAGTTGGGACATGTTTGTTTATGTAGGTAAAATCTACAGTGTGCAATAGGTTTTAACTATTTCAGTTGCAACATACCATGTGCAGAGAGCTGTCCACCTTGCAACAGGAAATGCACCTATAGCTGCAGGCATTCAAAATGCTCCAGAACATGTGGACAGCCATGTATTCAGTGCAAGGTGAGAACCATTGTCTGTCTGATTTGTGCACCATATCTTCTGTTTGTCAGTTTGTACATTATGTAATTGAAGTGCAGTAAAATAAGTTTACATTGGCTCAGAATAGGGTTCAATGTGAATTCCTTTTGAACTTAGTGCTTGAGCCTTCTGGTTCCACTAAGGGTTCTTAAAGTAGCTGAATGTCTGTAAGCTACTGATGAAGGACTATGCCCTTTTGGAGTTAGGTAATGGGAGATTTGAGAAATGCACATAAATTATAGTGAGAAAAGCTTAATGTAGGAGGCTATTTAGAAGGTGTAGGCATAGCTAGCAGGATGATACTAAAATGAATCTTAAAATAGTAGGGTGTGAGGGTGTGGACTGGATTTGACTCGTTGTAGGAACCACTTGAGACGGATCAGGGGTGCAAAAGAGACACTGACCCCCCCTCCTCCTGTCTTGCTTACTCTTATGATCACTAAGCTGGTTCATCCCAGTGAAGGGATCAACGCAGATGGACCACGTGAGACAAGTGTAACATACAGTAAATGCCTATAGTTACAACTGAGTGTCACATTTGTGTTGTTCTCCTTGCTATGCATTCAGTAAGTAGTGTTTGGAGCCTATAACACTCGAGTATAACTATTGAACATGGGGCTAATACTTCAGGTAAAACCATGGGTAGGGATAGTTGACCAACAGAAATAAACCATTGTGTAGGCTGGAGGTTAGTATAACAGATTGAAGCCCAAAAACCAATTCAGAATCCATAAAGTCAGAGGAAGACTTGGGAAACAGCACACATGTACACGGGGCCCAACTAGCCACAAAGTTGACACTTCGAAATGCAACTCTTTGATCCAGCAGCACGGATATCGCCGAGGGGTGGGTTAGAAGGGCAAAATGTTGGTAGGAGGAGAAAAAGAAAGCAACATGGTAATGAATCTCCAGGCTCCACAGAAGGTGGTGACCTTGACCAGCTGAATTTATTTTCTGTTGTTTTCATGTCATTGCATTAGGTTACTGTCAGTGCGTAAGTTATGTATACGTGCTGAGATATAATATAATAAAATTAACACTTAATTTTATTTTTATAGAGACTTGTAGGTGTATAGGTTACTTCAGTAATGACTGGCAGGATTATAGTCAAATTTCCTTATGTCTTGCACTTTCTGTGGTGCGTTTATTATGGTATGCTTCTCCTTATATGCAGTACTTGTAACATGAAACATGTATTTGATATTAACAATTACAGTAATCCCTTGCAAACAGCAGATTTAAAATATTCATGGTTTTATATTTTTCTCCAGTATTACTGAGTTTTATGTAAGAGCCAGGATAGCATAGTCAGTATAGCAACTAGCTACAGACTAGACAATCTATGGGTCAGAGTTCAAGTCCCGGCAAGGTCAAGAATTTTCTCTTTTAATGTCATTTAGACTGGCTCTGGGGCCCACCCAGCCTCCTACCTAATGGGTATGAGAGACTAATTTCCGCAGAGGTGAAGCATCCGGGGCATGAAACTAACCATTTACCTCCAACTAGTGCCAAGGTCAAGAAAATATGGATCTATATATCCATTCCTCCATACACTTTCATGGCATAGTGCTTAATTAGTTAAGTACAGGGACAACTTTACCTTTTTTATTATTATTGGGTTTTATGTACTGCCAGTTTTTGAATTGTGTCATGGTGGCTTCCACACAAAGAGATCCACACTTGCTTGGGGCAGGGCTGTGATGGCATCTGAAATTGGATGTTTAGCTACCAGATTACTATCTTGTGTGACACCTTATTAAACTCCTTGCATCCTTCCTGAGCTACCATAAAGAAAAATACAGAAGCTTTAATTGATGCCAGCAGTGTGGTTGATTAAGAAGTAAATGAAGAAAAAATTAAGTAAATACATGTTGCTGTTTCGTCACCAGAATATAGGGCAAAATCATGTCACAAAGATAGCTAATAGATCCCTTGAAAATGTGGCACAGTTCAAATGTTGGGAATGACAGCAACAAATCAAAATTGGGTTGGTGAGGAAATTAGAGGAGATTGAATTTTTGTAATGCTTGCTACCATTCACATCAGAACCTTTAGTCTTTTTGTGTGCTGTCTAAGAACATAAAAATTAGAATATACAAATTATAATTTTGCTTTGTTTCATTCTGGTCTTTCACACTGGATGGAATTAACCTTTTGTAATATAATTTTGCCTGTGGTTTCATATGGGTGTGGAACTTTGTCCCTGTCATTAAGGAAGGAACACAGACTGGGAGTGATGAAGTGATGGGAGGCTGGAGAAAACTGTGTAATGAGGAGCTTCATGACTTGTGCTGTTTGCCAAGCGTAATTAAAAAGATCAGGTGAGGGATGAGATGGGCAAGACATTAGCACACATTAAGGGAAGAGGATTGTGTACAAGTTTTTGGTGGTAAAAGCAGACTAGACGTATGTTGGAGAGCAATATTAAAATGGATCTTAGAGAAATAAGGTGGGGTGGTATGGACTGGATTCATCTGGCTCAGGATAGGGACCAGTAGAGGTCTCTTGTTAACATGGTAATGACCCTTCAGGTTCATAAAATGTTGGGAAATTCTTGTGTAGCTGAGTGGCTGATGGCTTCTCAAGAAGGACCCACCTCCATGGAATTATTTGGTCAAATTTATTTTTTAACACCATGGTCGCTGTAAACACCTGATGGGGTTTGAAATGAAATAGCTTTTCTAAGGGAAGTGGAAACTTTTATTAACACACAGATATATTCCATTTCTGTCTCATGAACATTTGCTCCATCTTATTGAAACCACACTGAATTAAGGTGGAGAGGATTTAACTCAGTTATCAGAAATTCTTCCAGCATGGCAGTATAGCACTCAGCATTGACTGTTACAGTTCGTCCCCCCTCACCATCAAAGATGCCGGGATCAGTAGTGTCACTTTGGCCCTCTGCACAGGGCATTGGTGGAATTCACAGGGGCTGTTTGCATCCCAAAACCACTAATTTTATTTATTCACATAATCTGACATGTGGAAGTGGGCCTTATTTGATATCAAGAATGAGTTCCCAGTGTTGTGATTGTTCACTAGGTCCAAGAATTCATTTTAACACTGAAGTCGGTTCCCGGCCATAGTACTGTGTTGCACTGACCTGGTTCTCCATCTCGACTAAACTCCAAAATGTGTACATCAAATGTTAGTATGGAAGTACCTTGTAGTGGGAAATGGTAATTACGTTTCAGAAGCTATCAGGTACTTTTGGTACACTCTGTATGTTAACGACAAGTTTCGTGTTTCATGAAGGACCAGACAGCATAAGCATTGATGACTCCTGACACGAACCATGTGTCCCCTAATCTCAGTTTCACATTATACCTTTGTTTTCCTGACCAGGGATTGCTGTACCGATAATATTCTTTGGTATGAAATATACTTATATTCGTGCTTGTTACTCAGTAGTTAGTCATAGAATGATGAACGTGAAGTTTTAGTGTATATGACGGGACTGATAACAAGCAAGTGATGATATTTGCAGTTTCACATTTAGATTTTGGCCCTCTGGGTAATGGCTAGTCGTATAGGGGTTACCAGTGTTCATGCAGGAGCCTGTTGCCTCTGTCCACAGCAGACTTCAACTCAGACACATGAGACAAGGCACACTGCTATCAGAATTTTCTTATGTATATTTAGTGTCATGTGCTTCTTCTCTTCTTCTACACCTTGCACTGCAGTGTTTGCCACTCCAAGGGCAAGGGTGTCAGTGTCAGGGTCAGGCAGAAGTCACCTGTGCATTTATGATTTTCCCAAGTTTCTCCAGATAAATCATCAGGCAAATCATCTTTTGTAGTTGTTGAATCACTGTTCTTATGCTTGGAGTGTTATCATGTGAAAGGGCCTTATTTATATTGGTTGTTGCAGGAACCCTGTGACTGGGCTTGTGTCCATCTTCGTTGCAGCAAATTGTGTTTTCAACTGTGTGACAGAGAGCCCTGCAATGAACCCTGCAAGAAGCTCCTACCTTGCGGACATCCATGTATTGGTTTCTGTGGTGAAAGATGCCCCCCTCTGTGCAGGATCTGTGATAAGGATGAGGTCACCGAAGTGTTCTTTGGAACTGAAGATGAACCAGATGCAAGGTATTTTGAGTGTATTAAGGACCAAAGAAACCTTGAACATGCCCATGAAGATGGTTGTAGGGTAGGCTGGTATGAAGCTAAAACATTTGAAACTGACAGCACGTGTAGGTAATGCAGAGAATCAGCCCATGTGGCATGTTTAGTGAATCCAATCAGGCAGCCCGGTTTGGATAGTTCTACTATACAGATTTCCCTTATCAGAAATGACGTTAGCAATTCATAGGGAAGGTCAGTGTGATCTGACAGATTCTTCATGGAGTTTCTGTATGATTTTAATCCTGGGGTTCACTCCCCACCCCCTTCCTCACAGAAGGCACTGTTGGTAGGTAAACATATGTTTTCGTAATATGGAACTCTTCAAATTCTATGCATTGGTGTTCATAGATTTGGTTTATAGGTTTGATTGCTACATATAATTTTCACTTCCTTTCCTGTCTTAGTTTTAGGTCTGTACATACATTGTCAAAATTTTTGTTGTGCATTTTCCTTGTAACAGTTGGTGACAAAGTCGAATCTCACATATTTATATAGCTGTCGTTATACTAACACAAGTTGTCATGTGATTAAGGTTAGCTCTTTCTAATGGACCCAGCAGAGTAGGTGTCTCCCACCTCTTCACCTGAGGATGGAAGCAGATCCAGTGTCTGAAACGTTGTGTTATTTGGTGCTTTTTATAATACTAGAGGATCGACAGTCCAAAAATCCAATAATTCTGAGTGATGAAACCTTTCCACTAAGTGAAGATAAAATTTTATATTTCATTTCATAAATGTTTGTATCTCTTTGTGATGCTTTAGTTTTCTTTTTTCTCATTTCCTTCCCTCCCTACATCTCTTCAACGCTGTGCTTTTATTTGCTACACTGCAAAACTTTTCCTGTTTTCCCAGTATATTTCAAACTTTGATAATGTTAGCAAGAAAAGAATCCTTTGTTGCAGCTGACTTAAGTTCTTTTTTAACGTCAAGATTTATTGTATTAGATGTAACCGTGGGTACTGAACTTCATTGAGTTGTCTCTAATTTTATAATCATGTTTTCTGGAAATATGGTTATATAAAATAATCCTGAAGGGTTTC